ATTTTTAATTTTGTCGAAAAATTTCACACCTCGAATTTTTTTTCTCGAAAGTGGGTAGGATTTCGAGGGTATATGTAATGACCAAAAATGATTGAAATTGACCCCCGGAACCGAAAATAATTTTTTCAGAACGATTTGAAAGTTTTCAATTTCGCCGAAAAATTTAGGCACCTACCCCCTGTCGATTTTTCTTAAAAATCCGTTTTTCATTTTTAATCATTTTGTTTGACACCCTACAGAAAAGTTGTCTAATACTTTTTTGTAGGTACCCATGAGCTCTAGTTCAGAAAAAAGTTTCATTGAAATATATTCACTATTGTAGGAATTATGGTCGTTTGAAGTTTGGATCATTTTTATCAGGTTTTTGTCATTTTAGGGGCTGAAGGAATAACTTTTCGGAATTTTTTGGAATGTCTACATATTCTTGACTAAAATACGCGTTGATTGCATTTTTAAACTTCAAAATCGTCCAATCCGTTCCGAAGTCATGACGTTTTAAAGACACGCATGAAATTTCGAGCTGTCATTTCTGGCCTCACATGATACTTTCGGTGAGGAATTTTTTTCTCGAAACTGCGTAGGATTTCGGGGGTATGTCTATTCACCAAAAATGATTGTAATCGACCCCTGCAATCGAAAATAATTTTTCTAGAACGATTGGATATTTTTTATTGTAGTCGAAAATTTGTCCATATCCATTCGTATACCTCGTGGTTGATCAATCGGTTAACAATAGATAAGGCGTTAAAGAAAACGATTTTGGAAGAAAATTGAAATTGAGAAGGGAACCCGCTAAAAATCGAAACTGTTATCGCGCCACGTAAACCGCGACGCTCGGTGGCTGCGAGTAAAAAGCGTCTCGGCGCTACATCGCACGTGTTTGGCCCGAGATCTCGTGCTTTATGCGTTCTGCGAGCCGCGCAACAGAGGAGGGAACAAATATTCCTTTCACAACGGTGCTGGTGCATTAGTCTAATTGAAATCCGGATGGCGTGGCGCGCGTGACCGTACACTATACCGTGCTGTCACGCTTCCAAATAGGTATAGGCGTGTCATAGACGTGCATCGGGGTTGCTCACTTGGCGAGTACCGGGTGACGCGACGATGTCGTTGCATCACTCGTCACCGGTGCAGTTAATGAAATTCGAGAGGCGTCTGTACCGCCGTGACGGATCGTTCGGGCTCGATCCAACTTCTACTTCCTTTTAATCTACCCCGTAAGTTAGTTTTCAAACATCTACAGCAAGCAACGTTACTACCAACTTGAAGTAAGATTCTTCTATAAAATTGAAAGGTTTTGTCCGTAGGATCGATGAGGGAAAGCTATAGCATGACCCGCTAGCCCGTGAATCAGCTAATTATCCAAGCGTGTTACTCATCACGTTCTATTTCAACGTTTAAATTCGTCTGAAGTGTTAGTCACCTAATAACGAAAGGCTAAGGTCGTCTTTGTTTTATCAAATACTCTAATGTACCGGGTGTTGAAGGAACAGCTGACCAACGGACGAAAAACGACAGTGATTGCGCGCATGGAATCGAAACAGTTAGATTTATAGAATCGACAATCCTGATTCATGGTTGTAAGAAAACGTCGCCGGATGACGATCGCTCGTGGCGACAGAAAGCGGCAAATTATGGTCGCGTGACAGCGCGATAGCAGATGAACGATAAACTTGAAACCGTAGACAGAATTAATAGCCGCCGCGAGTCAAATCGCCGAAGATGGATCGTGGAACGCAAGAATTGCGTCTCCGGGAACAAACGTACTTTCTAAATGCATACCCCGTGACACGCGTGTGTCGAGAAAGTAAAATGACGTATGCATACATGTACTTTCTCCGCGTGGCTGTAATCTCTGCGTCGATTCTACGCAGTTTCAAAAAAAATAGACTGTATTTTGGTACAAAGCGTACGTTTCTCGTTTGAAAAAGAAAGTAACCACGCTGTGTCGTCGAACGAAAAAGGTTTCGGAAACGTTGCTTTATGGGATGCGCCCCGTGGATCGAAGAAAACGTTTAAAAACGACGCTCCCGCGCTCCCTGCCACTTATTAACGGTAAATTAAAGCGCAACGTGCACGGAGTATTATTTCTCCGGCGTCATAAATGGACCGGTTCTAAAAATACCCGCATGGTTTTATGGTACGACCGTTACAACCGCCATCGTCCCGAAATATCCGTTCGAGTGTATCAACACTTTAAGGATCACGCGTAACTGCATACCACGGGAATCTCTATCCGCCTGACAAAATTCTTTCGAATAAAACGGTGAAAATAACTTCGTACGAGGTACCGATAAAGAGGAAAATGTTTACGCGGAACCTTCTCGGATGGAAATTGAATGGAATCGCCGGCGTTCCGTTCGTTCGAGTGATCGATCCCCGTAAACAAAAAATTATTGTTCGTCGTAATAAAATCCCGCGGCGTCGTAGGCGCTCGAAATCTCCGGTCGGAGCGACCGTTTACGCGCGTAAACGAGAGCGAGCACGATTCGTTTTCCTCGTCCCTTCCATTCTCCGTTTAGTCTTTTTCTCGGCCTTGATCGCTTCGCCATGGAGCAAGGACCGTGGCGAAAAAGGAACGGAGCACACGCGGGAAAAGAAGCGAGGATGGAGCGAAATCTCTCTTACCCTGTTCGTGGCTGGTCGCACAGAGAAAGATGTGCACGAACGTGTGCATAAAGTTCACTGTTTCGCGTGTATGTATAAGTAGGGAATGACTCGAGACGGCCACGCTCTCGTATCGCTCCAAATCGTTCGTCCCGATTGGAAAGTCTGTTTTGCAGCGACTTCCAAGTTGGATCGGGGAACAGCCATAGTTCGAGGCTCTTTACAAAATTGTCAAGATAAAAAGATGTTGTTCCCTGGCCAAGCCGTTCAATTCTCAGAACGTATACAAACGCGACTGGTACACTTCTCTAGAAACAATTCCACTTTTTCTCTTATACTATATTACGAATACCAAAATTTGGTTGAAAGTTAGACAATATATACTCTGGAATCTAGTTGTTTTTGTATGCCAAGGAACGTCTAAGGAGTCTAAATATTGAGGAACTTTAATTTTCGCGACCTCTATTTTCTAGCAAATACCGAATAAACACATGTCGAATGCATTATAGCGCGCAAGCAATTAATTATGGATAGACGAAGGCACGATAAAACGGTTTGACGTAGGAAAAACCGAATGACGATCGAACGATTTCATCGCTTCGATAATATCGTTGATTAATAACGCTTCATTAGCTACGATTACTAATAAACTAAATAGTACGAGAGAAAATAGCTGGTATTATAAACTGCTTCGTAATGCATCGGGTTTCTTTGTATCAACCTTTTAGTTATTCGTTCACATTGAAAATAATTTAAAGATCGCGTGAACCCTGGACGAATCGAGTTTTTGCATCTTTTATAGATCGCTGTTGCGGTAAATAAATTGGCCCGAGGCTTCACGGTCCGACGCCTAAAGTGCAACCGTACAGCAAATTATTATCGTAAGGTGTAATATAAACTCGCGAACAACGGTAAGAGTGCAATTTGCGTTGCGTGCGTTCTTGCATTGGCCACGTGCCAACTAAATTACAGTAACAAAGAGAAATTTGAATCGTCCATTTTAACGCATCTATTTCGATTTTACTCCAATTTGGACGCCTTGAAGAGGACAAGGAATTGACCCTTTAACTATCGTAGAGATATTAGAACCGAAGAAAGTAATGTATTTAATGCAATATATGTTTTCCACGAATTATCGAAACATATAAGCGACGAGTATTATCAATTATGCCTGACGATTTATTCACTAATTTATGTATCTCTTTATGCAGTAGTGTCGTACAAATAAGATAGTGTTATTTCTACAATTGCGTAGCACGTTTAATGCTAATTATTTTCAGTAATCCGACAGTGCTCCGATTCCATACATATATGTCGGATCACCGAGTTTGTACTATATAGAACGCTGATGGTTTATTATTCAAATGAATAATGCACCATCAGAAACCTAACTGCGTCTAAGGCAAGGTTTGTTGGATAAGCCTTGCTGACGAGGCCATTAGCATCGCCTGGACGAACACCGTCGACAAATTATCATTTTTCTAACTGAATATTATCTGGTGATACAATGGTATAGATCGATCAAATGATTCATACGTATCGAAAACAAGGTTGTGCTCCCCTATCAACCCCTCCAATTATTATCTTGACTAAGATGTTTCCAACGTAACTGTTACGAAAACGTTTCAAAGAACGTATGAATGAAAAACGCGAAATCGTATGACGCGCGACGTTTCGAGGAAGAAGGAAAATTAACGAGTCTAAGAACCCGAAAGCGATTCACGGAATTTCTGAACTCACGGTCGTCGAAGACGGAGGAGTCCTAAGAACGAATCAACTGGCAAGAACGTGACGATGCATCAGGAAGATGGGAAATCATTAACCTTGCCCGTTCGTGCCAACGGGCCATGGAATTTGTATGCGTCATACGCCTTGCTGGTACCTTAAGCGACACTTAAAGAGACACGAGAATTACAACGCATCGCTACACGCCTATCACGCGGACCCAGTAACAATGCATACCTCTTAGCTGCCGAAGATAATGGACCCCCTGCATCAGATCAGTCAACATGTCGCCGAGCCGACGATTAAGCCGGCATATCAAAGCGGTTAATGGAAATTGAACGTACGGAATGGATTTATGCAAAACGAGCGTTCGCCATCGTGGATCTAATTTCGTGTACCACCGTCATTTCCCTACGTAATAAATATCACTTACCCCGCCATTCGTTCCGATGGCCTTCGATTACGCTAAGAGCACCCCGGATTATTGTTCGTTTTTTATTCGACAATTTTTAAATGGTATTTATCAACCCCTCGGCGTACTATTTAATTACCGGGTAAACGAAGGGAACGAAATTAGGTCACGTGACGAGCACGTACCGTCTCGACAAAGGAATAAATTACGAAGGGGGGTAACAGATCCCCGAAGACAATTGGTTGCAAAGACTCACCTTCCAATGTTTTCTTGGCGGTGCCGAAACCGGCAGGGGGTCGTCGCCATCCCCTCCAGTTGTTGCACAGCGACTCGGGCTCGCTGCTCCAGCTGCACAAGGAATCCTCTTCGAAGCGGTCGGAGTCGTCGAAGGAGTAACGATCGGTCTCCTCCCACTCGAGTATCTGTGGTTGACCGGTGGCGTGTTCCCCGGCCCCGGGTCCGGAGGACACAGCAGCCGGCCCTGTGCCTCTGGTCCCGCCGCCATCGCCGCCGCCGCCGCCGCCGCCGCCGCGCCTGCCGCCGCCGCTACCACCCACCACCACGTGAGACCGAGCCAGATTGCCCGCCAGTTTTAATTGTCGTACGAATCAGCACGCGCGACACTACGGGGCCACTGCGCCCTCGACGACCACCGTGTACTCCGTCGACGGCCCCTCCGCGATCACGAACCGACGACACCCGCCGCCGTCTCCCACGAGTCGAGCCACCGTTCAACGTGCGAACCCTTCACCCTTGTTCCACACGAATCGCCGCCTGTTGGGACAACATTCTCGAGATTATTCAATGATACGCACACAACAAAATGACCAGACCTCGCGAACCGCCGCGCGGGACTCGCCCGTGCATTCAAAACTGCCCCCCGAAAGCTTGATCAAGTTCGTAAGGATACAGAGAGCGTTCCCTGAATAAGGCCTGTCCCGCGTTTCAGAACGATACGTCTGCTCACTTTTAACCTTAACTTAGATAAAAACAATCGCACCGCACCCGTTACTTTCGACAATCTGCTCTGAACCCTTTCTCAATCTTTCCGAAACACTGTTGTTTGTATCTTTGGCGTATAACTCGTAGCTGATAGTCGGGACAATGCAAGAAATTGCACCCAACGTTAAACGATACGAAACTGTTTCTCTCCGAAAAATGGTACGCGGTTCAAGTAACTGTAATTCGATTGAACGTGCGTATCCGTGGCGTTCGGAATTGTTCCCGTAGACACAACAGTCGGCTCCGTTACTGTATTACGCGATCGCCACGCTCTTCGCAAAGAATAGTGGCCGTTGAATCTTACTGCTCGATTACTCGTTTCTAATCCTCTCGTCTTTTCAACGTCCAAGTTACTTTTAAGGGGACTAATGTTTTCATCTGCGATAGCTAGAAAAGAAGTTTAAATTACATTAGCTTGGATGACAACACTTGATCGGTATATCGGAGGAATTAATAAAAGAAATGACCAAAATGTTTTAATCGGTTTAATTGAAAAAAGGTTCAGAGCTCGTGCGCTCGTACGCTGTAGATATACTAAAAATGTGTTACAAAATTTGTGACGAGAGCATATTTTTCATTTGTTCGTATGATGCAAATGAGTTAAACGAAGGCAAAATAGTAACACGGTGGAAAGTTTGGGTAACCCCTATTCTGGAGAACGGCTACCCGGTTATATTTGGGGCACTTTTAATAGATATGAAATTTGTCGATTGAACTCTGATTTGGGTCCATGGTGGGGTAATTGGTAAATCCGAATGTACGCCTCTAACCACCGTTTTACCACCGCCAACACGGCGCCCGATATTTCCCCTCTATTATACCGCTGCCCACCAGAGACAGCTACGACACCCGCCACTTTTAATTGCACCTCGAATCGGTGCACGCAACATTACAATAACAACCACAATTGCAAACGGGTCTCTTTTATATTCGAAGAAAATCCTTTCCTTTTATTTCAATCTGCCGTCAGAAATATTCAACATTTTGTTGAATAAAAAGATAAAAAGAACAGTTTGCCAAAAGAAAAGCAATAAAACGATATCTGAAAAATATAAAGAAAAATTACATCGTTGATCGAACTTGAATAATGGCTACATTTTCGGACACTATTTATTATCATTGTTACTCCCGTGCTTGCATCGCGAAGCTACAAGGTCACCCTTCACTTTCGTATTTTGTTATTCGATCATGCTCACTTGTACAGGATAAATTTAAACCGGGCTTACATCAACTAATATCAACGAAAAATGCATGCTTCTTAACGCGTTAACGACTAAAGTGAATGTAAATAAACAGTTCACCCGGAACAAATTTCTGTTTCGCAAATCGAACGACACCGTTGGTAATGTATCGAGCATACAAATAGCAAGTAAAACTGTGGCACAAAATAACGGTAGAGCGCGACGTAACGTTTTTCCTGCAACAATTTATTTTCACACGTAAGAGCGAAAGTGCAATAATACTGCGATCGTAACTTCTTTAATGCGAGAAATTAAAATCGACAAACCCCGTACGCGGTACACGAGAGTATCAAAAACCATCGCGCATATCCGAGAAAAAGTTAAACTTCTCGCTAAGCGAAGTAAAACAGAAACAGCTGATTTCACGTCGCTATAATGTTTGAAGAAGCGTATTGATTTTTCTGCCGCGAAAGGAGAACCTCTTTTATATTTCGCGCAAATCACGAGAGCGAACTCCAAAAAGAAAAGCATCGAGCACGCGACCGCGACGAATACGAATGTACGACACAAAAACTAATGACGACGTTGCCAGAGAAGATTATAACGGCGAATGTCAAACGGACAGCGTGCCGATCAGGTTAGGTTAGGTTCGAGCCATGAGAGAAGAAGAAAAATTTGAAACAGGGACGCGTATCAGAGACGGGGGATGAAGAGACAAGGACTTTGGCGGGTCGACAGACTCATGTCAAGAACGTGCGACGACCCTCCGACCCCATGAAAAGGGGAGGCAACCCCTCTATTTTCTTACATCTATCGCACAGTATGTCTCACTGTTCCACCTTTCACACCTTTTGTTCACGTATATTCTACCGTTTTCCTGCTTACCTCACCCTCTCTAACGAGTTTACCGTTCTGTCACTGGTGCACTTCACACCCCTTCTTCCTTCACCTACTACTACACTACTACTACACTCCAGCACCACCGAACGAACAGTACGGAACCAGAACAGAATGGGGAGTACACAAACATATATTATATGTATACACACATGCACACATAGAACGGCGCACTCGACAACAGAGTAGGACAGCTGAGCCACCAGTGCCCCACCAATTTTATGTAAGAGACATTTTACACTGTGTCCGTGATACCTTCCGCGAAGGTTTAGCCCGGCACGGGCATGTGAGAACTTATGCTAGTTTACGTAGGAATTACGCACTACCACTGCACAAGCTCGAAACTCCAGCTAGCCTACCCCATCGACGACAACAATAAATATGGCGAGCGAACTTCCTCCTGCGCCTCGCTGCTACGACTGCCGACTGACCGCCAGGTGGCGACCGGGACGCCGTCCCGATCACCCCCTACCATCGCTCGGTTCGTTTTTGCTTCGGTCATTTTCGTTCAACTTCGTGATTTCTGCCAGATACTTTCGCGGCTTTTAATGGAATTATAGACAATTTCGCTGAAAAAAGTATGCTTTTTTAAAATACTCGTCAATGATTAAACGATGTCAATTAAAATTAAGTAATATCGTTTGCTTTCTTGATCCTCTTCAATTTTGCAATTATGATCCGACTTCTGAACATTTGGATACATGTATGCTTATCAACGTATTTCAGTTGCACAAAACGGAAAGCTAATGTCTATATACTATACTTTGTATCTCCGATACAATAACAAAGGGCATTTATAACCTTTCGAACGTTATGCTCTATATCTGTCTTATCGTGTTCTTCCCGATTGCTTTTAAAAAAAATATAAATTTAATATGGAAGAAACCTTGAATAGTCTTTGACATATACTTAACATCCCACTTTATAAACTAGTCGCTTATACTGTACAACATCTCCCTTCGAGTTAAACAATTTTTGTATTTATATTCTCGAACTTCACATATAAACGCACAACTCACTTTATAAGAATCGCTTTTGTAATATTCATTGTCTCCATCAGATGTCGCCATTATGCTGGGCATGGATCCGCGCGGTTTGCCCATGCAAGTTTCAAATTACTTTAACGAAACATCAACGATATTTAATTGGGTCGATGTAAATAAATCATCCTGTTTATAAAATCATGGAGAAAAATAATCTTCATGTATAGAATATACACTACATGTTAAGAGTGTATTTACAATTTAACTAATGATTCTGACGACGCGCGCAAAGAACAGTTATTATGCTTTCTCACTGATCAAAACTAATTACAAATCACTGTGATTAAGAACAAACGTGATCAAATTACTGGTAATTCACAAATAGAAATTCCAGTCATCTCCATAGAAATCGGAAGCAGGTCAAGAACTAGTGAGAGAGGTGAAGGTTAAGTGAGCCCCTCTGTCGACGACCAAGGGAGCTATCGTCACAATAGTAACTAACGAAAACTTATTTGATTTGTTGTAAACGCTAGTTACAATTGTTACCAATCACAATTTCTTCTATATAGAAGAATTTTTGCGCCTTTTTGTGTGTTTACAATACAATAAATATCTATGTCTATTTTATATTTATAGTCCAACAAGCGATGTTTAATGTATGATTTTCCCAGAATAATATTGGGTTACAATTAGATGCATGAATCTCGTACTACTGAAAACACATTAAATATGAGTACATGCTACATACTTATAATGATCCCCATAAAATAAATCACAAATTTTTAGACTGGAAAATCTTGAATATTGTTCACGTTCACTTTTATTTAATCGCACATATCACTTTAAATTAATCTTCTTTAGTATTAATTATAATTAATCACACTTTTAAAAAATACGCGTGTTTCTTTGAACGTCTCGAGACGGAATAAATATCTATTAACCTATTTCTAAGAAGAAAAATGTTTCTATTTAAAAGAAAAGAAATACGTTCGCCACGATATTCGAATTGAAACGCTAACACAAATTGGATACGAATTCAGCATTGTTAATAGATCAATTGATGTGCATTATGACAATTGTGTGTTTGAATAGGTTATTCTATTAAAATTAAAGACTATAAAAAATGGCAAAAGTATTTCAATTTATTAAGACTATAAGAAATAATTGGAAGAAATCCCTCGTAGGAGCTGCAGCATTATCATATGGAATTTCATACAGTAAAGATGCATACGAGTAAGACATAATCTTAAACAATCAATACTTTAATTTCATTGTTGTCAATAAAAACATTTGATCGTAAATACGGATTACTTGTATAATTTATTTTACTATTGATATAATATTAAAAATAATATTATTTTTAGCACAGAGCAGTTAATGAGAGAACATTGTGAAAACGTATCGCAGTATGGTGATATGCCATGCCCAACAAATAGAAAAAATCGCCATGTGACTATTATTTTAAATCCAAGTGCTAAAAAAGGGTTTGTATATAGTTTATTTATGAATACATATTCATATTAGTTATGTCAGTAATGATTTATTATTATTATATACAGAAAAGCTAAGAAATTGTATACAAATTATTGTGAGCCGCTATTACAATTAGCTGGAATAGCAGTGAATGTAATAGAGACTGAATCTGATAATGAGGCTCGAAAAATTGTAATGAATTTAGATACACCTACTGATGCTATCATAGTGGCAGGAGGAGATGGTACTTTGTCCGATGTTTTAACAGGATTAGTAAGAAAATATAATTCCAATATTAATTCAGTTAAACAGTGTCCTATTGGTATTCTACCATTGGGATTAACAAACAGAGTTGCAAAATCCTTATATCATGAATATGATAATTTGACCAATGTAAGGCAATGTATAGAAGCTACAATGGCAATTATAGATGAAAAATCTAAAATGATGGATATGATTGAGATTGCACCTATCGAAGTATGTTTGGATTATATACAATAAATATCCTTTGTATTCTATTTAAACTATATATTTTTTGTTTCATGAATGAAGGAAAATTCTGAAGAGCCGGTAAGACCAATTTATGCTATGGGAACGATTGAATGGGGTGCATGGAAAAATGCACATGCTCTTGCTAAGAAATATTGGTACTGGGGACCTTTAAAAAAGTGTGTATAATCTCTTTGTATTCTCGAATAGTTTTGTTAATTTTTTGTTGTTGTTGTTTACAATATATTTTTCACAGATACGCGACGTATGTATTTAATGGATATAAGGAGACCTTGAGCTGGAATTACGACGTATTAATGAATTATACAAATCCTTGTGATGGTTGTTCCCATTGTTATCAAAAAGATTTTGTATCATCAAATAAAAGGTGGTGGCATGCCTTTGTTTCAAGAAGAAATACTATAACAGGTACGTTCAGATATTAAAATATGATAAAATGTTTTAAATGTTATGTTACACAATATTAATGTACTTTCTAGACAACGTCGATTACAGCAGAATAATAAATGAAAACTGTGGTGTTCGTCACGAATTACCTGTATCAACGAGCGAACTGCATATAGAAACATCCAATATAGACAAATCACAAGCTTTGTCATCATCGCCATTATCATCTTTAAAAGTGAAAAAGGGTAATTAAAGGAACACTGTACAGAATTGGATAATATTACGTTTGTAATCATGATCATAAATTATCGTTTATGTAATGTAGGTCCGAAGTGTGAAAATTATTTTTCGTTCGTGGTTGAAGGTTGGAAACAAGAAAATAATAATGAACAACTGTACGAACAGATAATAGAAGCAAAGGATATTGAATTAATTCCACAAGAGGTATGTGTTTAATTACTTAAAAATAATCAAAGTTAATGTCATTTTATTACCTTTTTTATATATTAATCTATTTATAGATCACTAATGAAAACACATTGTATATTGATAACGAAGAATACGAACTGAAAACAGTTAAGATTAAATTGCTTTCGCGCGCAGTAAAAGTATTTTGTCCTCGATCAAACATCAATTAATAGAAACTATATATGATATAAATAAAATTTAAAAATTATTTCTGTGAATTTCCTTATTTCCACAATTTGCTTCTTTCATCCTTTTTAATAAACAAAATATTATATATTGAAAAAAAAAAAAATCATAAACTTTTCTATTTTCATTATATATTTTTATAAAAATAATTTATTATTGCATATAAAAGGTACTTCATATACTATTGTCATTAAATTGAGTATATAATCTCTCATAAGTACTAAATAAGTAATAAATACTCATATTTATATCGAATACCACTTATTTTACATTATGAAATTTGTTTTACATGCATTACATTCAAATTTTTTATAAGGTACCATAGAATAGATAATAAAAAACATGCTGAAATATTCCTCGTGTTCATTGATCCACGCTTTGAATGTAATTTCGTGCTATTTTATAAAATATATATATCTAACAATATGCGTATGAAATTAACACAAAGTATAGGTTAGGTAGAAGCAATCTTCTTCACTAAATACAAGATTTTGTAGAAGACATTACATTAACATCATCACAACACGCACTTGTTTCACAATCTTTTCCGGTAAATTTAAAAAAGTCTAATAAAGAGGGAGCTGAACTTTTGGGAGTTTTAGATACCTTCTGTGGTTCTGTTGATCGTGATCTACTATTTCTTCTAGCGGGCGTTACATGCGAAACAGGGCTACACAGTTTTTCTGAGACTGATTTGCTTCCTTTTTGGTCATACTTCTCTCTTCGTATTCTTGTTAACCAATCAACATTTTCTTTGTATTTTTCCGGAGATAATTGAAGTAGATGTGGAGCTGTGCCATCAATTACAAAATTCGGTAGGTTTAATGTAGGAGAAAAGAGAATCACACTATTTTTATTTTCTGTACTGCTTGAACTTATGCTTGGTTCATCTGATTCATAACCTTTATTCAACAATGAATTATTATCACTACTTGGGCTAAATAATCTTCGTGCGCCACGATTTTCTAAATGAGCCCGTTTCGCAATAAATTCATGATTTTCTTGTATAGGTGACAAAATAGATTTAAATTTCCCATCGGACCATGATCCCATCATCATATGACAATAACTTCTTTTCACCGAATTACTAGAATTACATTGACTTTGTTTATCTTCAGAGTGGTTATAAACATCCAATGAGCCATGTTCTAATGCAGCATCTACACAAAAGAAGATAACGTTTATACTAATATATGTCATAAAACATAATATTGTGGGGTGTGAATGTGTGAGACGAGTGACCGGAGCGGAGTCAGCTGTGCGAACCTGGGAAACAAATCGATCGATCGACAGGTCGCGAAGGACGAATGCAGAATGCGTGCAGTTTTTGTCTCAAGTCGTGTATGTGTGTGTGTGTATGAGGAGTTAGGCAAAAGGCAGATTGATTGAAGCGATTGAAGGGTGCAGAGCAAGTTTGTGTAGCGCGAGGCGATTATTTTTGGTGTATAATAAAGTTCTTGTTAAGAAGTTCGTCACGTCCATTACTCTCACAGTTAGCTATATCCTACAATATTTGTATAATTTTATGGCCACATACTCGGTGTAGTATCAGATCCTGGAGTACGTTCCTGAGATACGACCCAACGTCGTGTAACGGTTGGTGTAGTTTCTAATTTCAAATTTTCTAAAGGGTTTTTGTTAACAACAACTTCTGCGTGACCACGTATCTGAACTTCCTCATTCTCTATTTTATGTTCGCGACCAACTCTCCAAATTCTATGGCACGAATCATCAGAACACGTTACTATCTGCAAAATTTTAAAAGACACTAAATATCTTAAATGTAAACACAAAATTGATCAATGTGCGAAAAAAATAATGTTAGATTTTTATCAATACTTTAGTTTCGCCGACACTGCACCACGCGATGCAAGTAACTTCTTCTGAATGTCCAGAAAGTTGGACTATCGGTGGTCCTGGCATATTTGTACGCCAAATATATGCCAGTTCATCACTGGAACCACTAGCCAAATAAAGTCCATCAGGACTTAAACAAGTCTTAACATAATATGAACAATTTTGATGCCCATAAAATTCTGCAACTAATATGTAAAAACAGTGAGCATGCAAATATTATTTTATTATTTAATACCAAGAACATTATTATTATATTTACTGGGCATAGGATTATAAGATGATATATTATATGCGTATATAATATTATCCATACAGCTTGCATATAATGTAATTCCAGCTGGGCATATTAATAACGATGAAAATCCATTTCTTGTACTATGTCCAGTATAATTCATAGTATATTTAGCTACAGGATCCTTTTTGTATACGGTATAATTTTTACGCAAATCCCACACTTTTATTAAACTATAATATTAATAATATTTATTTGTATTATTTTATCCATATGTATAATGAATATTTATCAAAATAAATAAACTTACCCATCGCCGGCTGCGCACGACAATAAAGTAACATCGTCTTGAAATGCCAAACCAGTAATACTTTGTGCTCTGGATGCACGACTAAGTACTCTACGTTGTCGCACATTACCTATGGTTCCAACATTATGTGCATTTGAAATACAATTATCCGGTTTACGATGTTCGTAATGGTTGGCTCTGATATCCCATACCATAATTGAACCGTCTCTAGCTCCAGTTGCAAACACAGCTAAAATAATTTTTAAATTAAATTTTAATTTTTTGCAATACATTTGAGACCTTATCAAATATTATCATCAAATACATTAAATATTAAGTCTACCTTTGTCATGATAACGAAATACAACAGTTTTAATACTTCTTGTATGAGCATGAAAATAATCAATTTGTTTTATTTCAGAACCAGATACATCCCATAATCTAGCAGTGTGATCACCAGATGCTGTAACTAATTTTAATTCACCAGGCATCCAAGCAACATCAAATATTGCGTTGCAGTGTGCCTGAAACATAATGCTTTGTTTAAACGATTATAGTTTACATGCAATCAACAAATTGATTTATACTAGTCTTTTCTACAGGAATTCAAAGAAGGATAATTCATTAAATTTAGTTCAACTACCAGATAATATACTACAAAATACTTTATGTTTGCCTTGTTAATATTTTATACTTCCGGTGCTTGAATATCACTGAGTAATAATACCTGAGTTCCTTCTAATGGTTGGTTGGATGTTTTTTTAATACTTGTATTTTGAAGCGCAATTTTACCATCTTCATTTGCTAAAGCAATTATTTGCTCATAACCTTCTGTAGTACAAAATCGACAAGCAAAGACTGGTGGTTCTGGATTAAAATCAAGTGCATGTGTGTTTGGTGTTATACCACGATAGACATCTTCCTGATAAGATTTCAAACGGTATAGGGCAATATCATAATCTCGTATAGATGCTGAAAGTAGAAACGTAAATTAGTTTTGTAAAATTTATTTTATGTCTTACAAAATCAATGCTTTACATTAAGTGCACAAATATTGTCTTGAATATTACAATAAGCACAACACTATATTTAATGGTATATAACCTGTTACTTAATATCTATAACTTGCTTAAATTCTTCGCAATATAAAACCTTTAAAAATTAATTACCATATCCTTTTTCACGTTCTACAATGGAGCGTATTAAACTCATTCTGATACTGCATTAAACTAATCTTTTGTTATATAGTTGTGTAAATTGTTCATATAGGCAAGATCGTACGCGGGAAAATCTGTCAGTTTTCCCGCATTCAACTGGGTTAATTTCCATGTAACAATAATACCACAGGCACAGTAAACTTTCGTACGATACGAGCCGTACTCAACGAGAAATAGTAAAACCATGAGAGTATGATTTTACACTTGATAGAAAGAGTACGCAGCATTTATACATCTCTTTCCATCCAATGCAAAATCGGACTCTCACGGTTTTACTGTTATACATTCAGCATGGCTAGTACCGAAGTCGGCTGTGACTGTGATAATACATAATTAGAAATGTATGGAAAACATGACTGAACTGTAGGAAAAGACGAACAGTTGTCATATCCAACCATAAATATACATGGTCTAACTATCCAACCATAAATAAAAAATAATTCCCCACGTTCGTTTTCTTGGAATCAGATGCTATACTAGGAATCTAGCAAACGTAAAATGAAACACAATATCTTTTGGTTCTTAGCGCTGCTAACAGATGGCAATCATAAACGGTCAAACAACTAAAAAGACATAGGTCGGAAAGTAAAAATGCCTGGGCAGTTGAGAATTTCGACGTTCCGAAACTCTACGAACTCACGTACGTGTGACCTGGCATAATGTGAGTAGTGCACCGGGGCTCAATCTGGCGTCACTGCTCCACATCAGTCAAGTTCAGTGATGCCAGAAAAGCACCGTCGGGTGCACACTCACACATGCTAGATACGCGTACGTGAGCTCGTGGAGTTTCGGAAAGACGACAAAGGCAAACTGACGCATGCCCTCTTTCTCGATTCTCCCACTTCCTCTTTCTCCCACACAACTGAAATCCGACCTCCAGTCAACGGCATACGATTTGGATTCTCGACTGCCCAGGCATTTTTACTTTCCGACCTATGTAGGCGCACATAAGCAAAGTACCCATAATGAAAAAAAAATTTTGTAAAATTTATTTTACGGAAATACACGTTTTAAGACCTCCTGATCATATTTTAATTATTGAAAAAAAAGAAATTTTTTTTTATTCCCATGTATGAGCACACATATGTATATTATTAATACGATTTTTGAAAATAAATAAAGTAAAACTTATCTCATTGAAATTTTTTCTAGAAGTTGAGCTGATGAATACCTAGAAAAAAGTATTAGACAACATTTAATTTTGATTTCGATTAAAAATCAAATTTATATTGTTTTAAATTCGCAGCCATTAGCTCGGTGTTACCCATAATGAAGAAATTGTTCTTCAAAGGTAACACCGATTACCAGGTCTCACCACGAGGAGGTTGCTGCGAGTGGAGACCCAAAGTGAGATCGATGGAACAAAGTTCGATCGACCTTCCTTTTTACACACTAGATTACGCAAAAAAAAAGATGCCAAGTAATTACTGTTCTAAAACAAAGGAGGAAGCTAAATTATGGGAGACGCGACACGACGAAACGCGACACAATACTGCACAGTGCAGTAGGAATATGAGGTGCGACACGTACCGAATAGCGGGTCAAAAGGGGCAGCTCGTTGCCTCTCAGCGAGTCCAATTGAAGGGGAGGAGAATCGACGCACCAGACACGGGTTCTCCATTTCTCCCACGCATCCTGCTGGGAGCCCGTAGGACCCAACCCGGGACGTCTGACATAGGAGAGAGATCCTGAGTCGGGGCTACCGCAGACAGGAACAGGTCCCCTCTACGGCCGATGACTCTTTCCCTAGAATTGTCTCACCAGAGGACGGCAACCGACCCTTCGAACCATCTAAACGGCCGATCACTTGCTTTCTACATTAAAGCAGCGGTGACCGGAGAAACGAGACTGGAAAAGAAGCTATTAATTCATTCATTACTTGGCAATCTACGCAGTAACTAAAATAATATACAATGTAAATTGAAAATTAACGTCGTAGGTGGAATTGAGAATTAATGTGAATTAATGGAATATAGGAAACATCGGAAAAACAAGGAAAACAAGGAAAAAGAAAAATTCGACGTTAATTTTTACATTCGCGCCGCGCCTTAAAATTAATCGCTTACGTTTAACGATGAATCCGACGTCATCTGTTGGCGATCTAGAAATTGACCTGCATAAAAACTAACGTAAAAATTAATAGGTACATATTAATAATACATGTACACAAATATAACCTAAATAACAAATCGAAATCAAAACCAAAACATAATAGGAATTGACCAACCCAACGCAGTAAGATAAAGAAACGAATTAATAGAAAAAAAACAAACCAACGATGTGCAATAATAGATTAATTTGGAAAAGAGAACAACCCATCGAAGCGTAAGACGAATAACAGAAAAATTGGAAAAATATCAACCCAACGATGTATAGATAAAACCTGAAAGGAAAATAATTGAATAAATTAGTGGAAGGAACAACCCAAATATGTACAACAATACCTATATACCTATACATATACATAAAAAGGAAGAAAAACACAATACATGGATTAGTTATATTAATATTAGTTACGTGTATACCAAACGGTGATCCTTTCCTTCCTGGTCACCATCGCAGAAGATATCTGAAACAGAAAAAAAAAACGCGTGACAGTACCCCCGGCGGTTCCAGGAGTACTGAAAAAATTTGCCCAGTTGTGCCCACTTTTATGCAGTCAAGCCAAAGTATCAACGAGCCAATCAGCAGCCAGTCCGCTGGGGGCGACACTCCGGTAGGGCGACACTTGCTTCACCTAAGTTTATAAGAGACCCCTGTGGCTCGCGCGGGGGAGTTATCTCCCAACCACCAAACAAGACGGACTGAGAAGATGGCGGCCAAGAAGATGTTTCACGAGCAGCGGCCAAGGGACAAAACCGGTCTTTTTAAAGACCAAGAAAATCTCATTTGTGGGAACAACTTATGCAATGAACTGAACAACTTTTATATTTAACAAACTCAGAGACACTTTACATCTCTGTTTTGTAACAACTTTTATATTTAACAATTCAGAGACACTTTACATCACTGTTTTGTAACAACTTTTATATTTAACAATTCAGAGACACTTTACATCACTGTTTTGTAACAACTTTTATATTTAACAACTCAGAGACACTTTACATCTCTGTTTTGTAACAACTTTTATATTTAACAACTCAGAGACACTTTACATCTCTGTTTTGTAACAACTTTTATATTTAACAATTCAGAGACACTTTACATCTCTGTTTTGTAACAACTTTTATATTTAACAACTCAGAGACACTTTACATCTCTGTTATGGAATAACTTATGCAATAAAACTGAACATGGTATATTTGCCTATACATATAGGAAGGAAATTCGTCGTTAGTATTGTCGCCCGTCAATGCACTTAATTATGCAAAATCAGTATACTATCTAATTTTATTTTTTATTATACCGGTTTGTAATATCGTAAAGATCAATGCAAAAACATTATGTACAGCTCTTGTATTTCTTTGATTTATCCAAGTAGTCAAAGTATAATATTTTACAAACTTTTGATTCAAATAAAATAACGAATGACACAAAATTTGAGTACCTGTTACATGCAACCTATGTATAAATGCATAATAACTAATATTGATATACGCATAACGAACTTAGTTTGTGATATTAAACATTAAGAAAAGTGTAAATTAATAAATAGGTTTCAAAATAGGTATTCCAGGTTTAACAACTTTCATAAACAATTGTTCAGGGTTATTTGGAATATTTCGAGCTACGTGATATGTATTTAGTTATTTAGCTGTCAAATATATAATTCGTACAAGTGCAATTGTGTTTTTGGGGGTGATTACGATAAATACGCTCAACGAGTATCGGATTTTTTTGACGATTTGTTAAAGTGCAATGCTGTACCATTAGTTTTGATCGATGGTGGTTGCGAGGATAAGAAACTGCAAACAGTTATATCTAGAACTAGAGAAAAGGTTCGTACAGCATCATCTTATTCTCCGATCTGTCAACAGAAAATAAAATTTTTGTCCTTTACATATTTAGGAAGTTTTCAACGATGTTACGAGAAAGAAGAATGTTCGTCATGTGCAATGCTTATTCGAAGCTGATAATGCTATAGCTACTGTAGCAAGGGTATTGAATTGTCCTGTATTGAGTTATGATTCAGATTTGTATGTGTTTGGGACATTGTACATACCATTTGATACATTGGACAATTACACGGTGAAAAGTTCAACTGGAAATAGTTACACAAAATGTTGTAAAATTTATAAAGTTGAACACTTATTAAATTCTTATAGAGGTTTAAGTCAATCTACACTGCCATTAGCTGCAATATTACTAGGCAATGATTATGTAAAACGTGGTACATTTAGAAACTTCTTTCGTTATTTAAAGTTACGACGAATAACAAGAAAAAGGTATAGTAATCGACAGTATTGTATAGAAGCAACTTTACAATGTTTGAGCGGATTTTACACCTTGGACAAAGCAGTCATTGGAATACTATGTAGATCACCTAAAACCGTAAGACAAAAAATATTAAGCATAATAGAAATCAATATAAATGGCTATACAAATGCATCTACAGAAATACTTGTTCCATTGGGGTTTTTACAGGAATAAAATAAGCGGCCAAAGGACAAACCGGTCTTTTTAAAGACCAAGAAAATCTCATTTGTGGGAACCGCTAAACTGAACAACTTTTATATTTAACAACTCAGACTTTTTACATCTCTGTTTTGGAATAACTTTTATATTTAACAACTTAGAGACTTTTTAGATCTCTGTTTTGGAACAACTTTTATATTTAACAACTCAGAGACACTTTACATCTCTGTTATGGAACAACTTATGCAATAAAACTGAACATGGTATGTTTGCCTAAATAGGCGAAAAATGTACAAATACAAATTGAATTTATTGAATTGATATTAAATAAACATTCTTTGCTATAAAATCAAAAAATTATTATTTGAAATAGTAGAACAATTAGAAAATAAATCGTTTGAAAATAATTTCGAAAGTCTTACTTGATAAACTATATTCTAACGATTTATTTCCAAAGTATTGTTTCATGTCAAACATGATCAGGGGGTCTTGAAACGTGTATTTACGTGTCAATTTTTCATTCAATATGGGTTTTGCTTATATATTTGTGTCTATATAACTTGAATTTAAATTCAAATGGTAATGAAAAATCAATGACGCATGTTTGTACATTATTTTTTAATCCTGGACTCGTTAATGGTACTTCTCTAAGATTAGATAGGGACAGTAATGGGGAAGAAAATTTAGTGTCAGTGCCTTCTGGTTCGTAACATTTAAGCTTTTTATTACAGTCTCTCATCATGTATTTCATGAAACCTCTCCTTCTATTCGTTCCTGATTGCAGAAATGCATATATAACTCTAATAATTTTTAAACTTATTACATTGCTCAATGGATAGGAATAATCCTCTATTTGTACAGGACAAATATATAAACGTCGAACCAACAAGTCCATAAAATATGCAGGATAATTGCCCATAAGAAATTCATCTACAAACAAATTAGGTACATTAGCTAGTGCATTAGTGGTAGCAGATTCTGACCCCTTTAAGCATGTCTAATATTTCAACTTCGTCTTCTTCCTCTTCTTCTTCTTCTTCTTCGGATGATTCAAAGTCTCCATTTTTATCAGTTTCTTCCATGTACATTAGACTATTAACATCTCCATCAAATTTAAAAATTCTGTTTATGGAATGTGTTGTGGCACGAGCTGCATATTCCTGTAAAAACCCCAATGGAACAAGTATTTCTGTAGATGCATTTGTATAGCCATTTATATTGATTTCTATTATGCTTAATATTTTTTGTCTTACGGTTTTAGGTGATCTACATAGTATTCCAATGACTGCTTTGTCCAAGGTGTAAAATCCGCTCAAACATTGTAAAGTTGCTTCTATACAATACTGTCGATTACTATACCTTTTTCTTGTTATTCGTCGTAACTTTAAATAACGAAAGAAGTTTCTAAATGTACCACGTTTTACATAATCATTGCCTAGTATTATTGCAGCTAATGGCAGTGTAGATTGACTTAAACCTCTATAAGAATTTAATAAGTGTTCAACTTTATAAATTTTACAACATTTTGTGTAACTATTTCCAGTTGAACTTTTCACCGTGTAATTGTCCAATGTATCAAATGGTATGTACAATGTCCCAAACACATACAAATCTGAATCATAACTCAATACAGGACAATTCAATACCCTTGCTACAGTAGCTATAGCATTATCAGCTTCGAATAAGCATTGCACATGACGAACATTCTTCTTTCTCGTAACATCGTTGAAAACTTCCTAAATATGTAAAGGACAAAAATTTTATTTTCTGTTGACAGATCGGAGAATAAGATGATGCTGTACGAACCTTTTCTCTAGTTCTAGATATAACTGTTTGCAGTTTCTTATCCTCGCAACCACCATCGATCAAAACTAATGGTACAGCATTGCACTTTAACAAATCGTCAAAAAAATCCGATACTCGTTGAGCGTATTTATCGTAATCACCCCCAAAAACACAATTGCACTTGTACGAATTATATATTTGACAGCTAAATAACTAAATACATATCACGTAGCTCGAAATATTCCAAATAACCCTGAACAATTGTTTATGAAAGTTGTTAAACCTGGAATACCTATTTTGAAACCTATTTATTAATTTACACTTTTCTTAATGTTTAATATCACAAACTAAGTTCGTTATGCGTATATCAATATTAGTTATTATGCATTTATACATAGGTTGCATGTAACAGGTACTCAAATTTTGTGTCATTCGTTATTTTATTTGAATCAAAAGTTTGTAAAATATTATACTTTGACTACTTGGATAAATCAAAGAAATACAAGAGCTGTACATAATGTTTTTGCATTGATCTTTACGATATTACAAACCGGTATAATAAAAAATAAAATTAGATAGTATACTGATTTTGCATAATTAAGTGCATTGACGGGCGACAATACTAACGACGAATTTCCTTCCTATATGTATAGGCAAATATACCATGTTCAGTTTTATTGCATAAGTTATTCCATAACAGAGATGTAAAGTGTCTCTGAGTTGTTAAATATAAAAGTTGTTACAAAACAGAGATGTAAAGTGTCTCTGAATTGTTAAATATAAAAGTTGTTACAAAACAGAGATGTAAAGTGTCTCTGAGTTGTTAAATATAAAAGTTGTTACAAAACAGAGATGTAAAGTGTCTCTGAGTTGTTAAATATAAAAGTTGTTACAAAACAGTGATGTAAAGTGTCTCTGAATTGTTAAATATAAAAGTTGTTACAAAACAGTGATGTAAAGTGTCTCTGAATTGTTAAATATAAAAGTTGTTACAAAACAGAGATGTAAAGTGTCTCTGAGTTTGTTAAATATAAAAGTTGTTCAGTTCATTGCATAAGTTGTTCCCACAAATGAGATTTTCTTGGTCTTTAAAAAGACCGGTTTTGTCCCTTGGCCGCTGCTCGTGAAACATCTTCTTGGCCGCCATCTTCTCAGTCCGTCTTGTTTGGTGGTTGGGAGATAACTCCCCCGCGCGAGCCACAGGGGTCTCTTATAAACTTAGGTGAAGCAAGTGTCGCCCTACCGGAGTGTCGCCCCCAGCGGACTGGCTGCTGATTGGCTCGTTGATACTTTGGCTTGACTGCATAAAAGTGGACACAACTGGGCAAATTTTTTCAGTACTCCTGGAACCGCCGGGGGTACTGTCACGCGTTTTTTTTTTCTGTTTCAGATATCTTCTGCGATGGTGACCAGGAAGAAAAGGATCACCGTTTGGTATACACGTAACTAATATTAATATAACTAATCCATGTATTGTGTTTTTCTTCCTTTTTATGTATATGTATAGGTATATAGGTATTGTTGTACATATTTGGGTTGTTCCTTCCACTAATTTATTCAATTATTTTCCTTTCAGGTTTTATCTATACATCGTTGGGTTGATATTTTTCCAATTTTTCTGTTATTCGTCTTACGCTTCGATGGGTTGTTCTCTTTTCCAAATTAATCTATTATTGCACATCGTTGGTTTGTTTTTTTTCTATTAATTCGTTTCTTTATCTTACTGCGTTGGGTTGGTCAATTCCTATTATGTTTTGGTTTTGATTTCGATTTGTTATTTAGGTTATATTTGTGTACATGTATTATTAATATGTACCTATTAATTTTTACGTTAGTTTTTATGCAGGTCAATTTCTAGATCGCCAACAGATGACGTCGGATTCATCGTTAAACGTAAGCGATTAATTTTAAGGCGCGGCGCGAATGTAAAAATTAACGTCGAATTTTTCTTTTTCCTTGTTTTCCTTGTTTTTCCGATGTTTCCTATATTCCATTAATTCACATTAATTCTCAATTCCACCTACGACGTTAATTTTCAATTTACATTGTATATTATTTTAGTTACTGCGTAGATTGCCAAGTAATGAATGAATTAATAGCTTCTTTTCCAGTCTCGTTTCTCCGGTCACCGCTGCTTTAATGTAGAAAGCAAGTGATCGGCCGTTTAGATGGTTCGAAGGGTCGGTTGCCGTCCTCTGGTGAGACAATTCTAGGGAAAGAGTCATCGGCCGTAGAGGGGACCTGTTCCTGTCTGCGGTAGCCCCGACTCAGGATCTCTCTCCTATGTCAGACGTCCCGGGTTGGGTCCTACGGGCTCCCAGCAGGATGCGTGGGAGAAATGGAGAACCCGTGTCTGGTGCGTCGATTCTCCTCCCCTTCAATTGGACTCGCTGAGAGGCAACGAGCTGCCCCTTTTGACCCGCTATTCGGTACGTGTCGCACCTCATATTCCTACTGCACTGTGCAGTATTGTGTCGCGTTTCGTCGTGTCGCGTCTCCCATAATTTAGCTTCCTCCTTTGTTTTAGAACAGTAATTACTTGGCATCTTTTTTTTTGCGTAATCTAGTGTGTAAAAAGGAAGGTCGATCGAACTTTGTTCCATCGATCTCACTTTGGGTCTCCACTCGCAGCAACCTCCTCGTGGTGAGACCTGGTAATCGGTGTTACCTTTGAAGAACAATTTCTTCATTATGGGTAACACCGAGCTAATGGCTGCGAATTTAAAACAATATAAATTTGATTTTTAATCGAAATCAAAATTAAATGTTGTCTAATACTTTTTTCTAGGTATTCATCAGCTCAACTTCTAGAAAAAATTTCAATGAGATAAGTTTTACTTTATTTATTTTCAAAAATCGTATTAATAATATACATATGTGTGCTCATACATGGGAATAAAAAAAAATTTCTTTTTTTTCAATAATTAAAATATGATCAGGAGGTCTTAAAACGTGTATTTCCGTAAAATAAATTTTACAAAATTTTTTTTTCGTTATGGGTACTTTGCTTATGTGCGCCTACATAGGTCGGAAAGTAAAAATGCCTGGGCAGTCGAGAATCCAAATCGTATGCCGTTGACTGGAGGTCGGATTTCAGTTGTGTGGGAGAAAGAGGAAGTGGGAGAATCGAGAAAGAGGGCATGCGTCAGTTTGCCTTTGTCGTCTTTCCGAAACTCCACGAGCTCACGTACGCGTATCTAGCATGTGTGAGTGTGCACCCGACGGTGCTTTTCTGGCATCACTGGTCAAGTTGAACTTTCGTTCATATAGTTGATATAAGCAAACAGAACGTAGAGAGCCATCGAAGCACATAATAAAATTTTACTTGACAATTTGTATATCTGTGTTAATTAAAAGAATGATGTCCTTTGTAAAAAGTAGCTTTGCACTAAAGCAAGGACTTGTTAAATATGGTATGATAAATTATTTCATAATATATAAAATTAAGTATAATTTAAATGTGATAGATATTGCTATTTTTAATAATGTGGGTACAAAGTACAGTACTGGAAGACACAATGCACATTAAGAAAAACACAAAAAATACTTTGGTCTATTAATGACTAATTAGATAAGAATAATTACTTTTCTTTATCTATAATATATATATAATTGAATTGTTATTTACTGAAATATAATTCATTTTTTGTATTAGGTACTACTACAAATTATTGGAAAGTAATAGTAAATAAATCGTATGCAACTAAAACTAATAATGTTGTTAAGAATATAGTGTTTATTGATGGTGTTAGAACACCATTTTTGCAATCTGGAACAAGTTATAAAAACTTAATAGCATACGATCTTGCAAAACATTCATTGGTGTATGTCAATTTTAATATGTATCCTTTTATTTTCCATATTAGGAACTTATATCGATTTAATGTATTTTTTTATTACAAGGGCTTTACAAAGAAAAATTGGGTTTCCCAAAGAAGTAGTCGAATATATAGTTTATGGTACAGTAATGCAAGAAGTACGAACTTCGAATATTGGCAGAGAAGCAGCTTTAGGAGCTGGATACAGTGATCGTACTCCTGCACATACAGTAACTATGGCATGCATCAGTAGCAACCAAGCACTTACAACTGGTATGGGTTTGATTGCCTGCGGTGCATACGATGTAATTATTGCCGGTGGAGTTGAATTTATGACAGACATACCAATTAGGCATAGCCGACGTATGCGATCTTTAATGTTACAAGCCAACAAAGCAAAAACAGTTGGACAAAAATTAAGTCTTCTTACTAGCATTAGACCAGCACATTTTGTACCAGATGTATGTTATCCTGTATGACAATAGAACATTTTGGAAACATGTATGTATCGTAATTAATGAAAATTATATATAAATGCAGTTGCCTGCTGTAGCAGAATTTTCTAGCGGAGAGGTGATGGGGCACAGTTGTGATAGATTGGCAGCTGCATTTAATGTATCCAGAAAGGAACAGGACGAGTATGCTTTACGTTCGCACACTTTAGCTGCTAAAGCTCAACAACAAGGATATTTTACAGATTTGAGCCCTTACAAAGGTAGTGATAGTTAAGTTATAATAACAGAAATTATTCGATTAATTTTAATATCTTTTTCAGTTCCAAATGTAAGTCAGGTGGTAGATAAAGATAATGGCATTCGTGTTTCTACGCTTGAGCAATTAGAAAAGTTAAAACCAGCATTTGTCAAGCCATATGGAGTTGTAACTGCTGCTAATGCTTCCTTCTTAACCGATGGAGCATCTGCAGCTTTAATAATGACAGAAGATAGAGCTCTTCAACTTGGCCTTACTCCAAAAGCATACTTAAGAAATTTCACTTATGTCTCCCAAGATCCAATTGACCAGTTACTTTTAGGACCAACGTACGCAATACCGAAGGTTAAATATTTTCTATTTCGTGTGTATTAAAAATTGATGAAGATCTTAGTACTTTTATGTATTTTCAATTTACAGGTGTTACAAAAAGCTAAATTGAATGTAAAAGACATTGGAGTGTGGGAAATACACGAAGCTTTTGCTGGACAAATTTTGGCTAACTTAAAAGCAATGGATTCTGATTGGTTTGCACAAAATTACTTGGGTAGATCTGGAAAAGTCGGAGTACCCGATCTTAACAAATGGAACGCATGGGGTGGATCTTTATCAATTGGACATCCATTTGCAGCAACTGGAGTTCGATTAGCTACGCATACCGCTAATCGACTTATCAGAGAAGATCAACAATTTGGATTGATTGCGGCTTGTGCAGCCGGTGGTCAGGTAAGACAACTAAAAATAATTGCCACAAAACTTATTCTCATATTTTTCTTCCTTTTTTTAAGTATTGTATGAAACAAAATTCATTTAAAGAAATAATCATATAAATTGCAGGGTGTAGGCATGATCATGGAAAGATATCCTGCAGCAAAAATTTGAAATATAACAAAAATTAACTGAAGAAATAGACAGTTACTAACTGTAAAAAATATGTACAAAATATAAGTAAATTATATAATAAAATATATATATATTTTCCAGGAGAAAGTCAATTTTATATGGAAACTTTTGTATACAATTTTTTATAAAAAGAATGTTTAAATATACTGTTTATAATATTATGTATTTGTGTACAATTTTTCTATTTTGATTTTTAATCTAATGTAACATGAAAAAGTGAAGGAAGAGATTGTTCTGTTAAATAATGCCTAACAGAATGGTCTAAAATAGCTTTTATGTCTTGGCATCCATATAATACACGTGCTTTTAAAGATTCAAGATGTGACAAATGTAATCGTTGTCCTGCTCCTTGTGCTACTACTATTAAGCCATCTTTTGATACAGTATCGCTATCTGGTAATGCAACAACAGAGAGAGTAACACCAGGAGCACATTCTTCTACATAATTTGCATCTAACACTCCTGTTCCCAGTGTTTTATCATAATCTTCCAGAGATGGTATATTGATTAATGTCACGGTGCACCCTACAGCATAATTCTATGAAACAATAATAATAATAAATAATTTATTAGATAAAATTCAATTTAATCAAAATTATGAAAATATTTTTTAATTTTAATATCACACCTTGATAGGAATTCCCGCATCGATCAATGCGAGAGTAGCTGCATTCACGGATGCACAGAAATCGCTTCCATCAACTTGTAACATTTCAACATAAATATCTATTTGCGAACGTGGATATAATTCTAGATGTATTATTGCTTCCATAGCGTGTTTTAACTGTAGCGATCGTTCTTGCGATTTTCTGTCACCCCTTGGTTTTCGTTTGCGTTCTCCAGAAGATAAACTGAATACCGCCATACTGTACTGACAATTTACTATGCCTTTCGTAACCTTACCTGAACCTCTTCCCACAGAACCCCGTGGCTGTACAATTATAACGCAGATAATAAATGAAAAATTTGTTATACATTAATGTTGGAGAAAACCAAATATTAACCTGATGTGGTCCGTACACCGTGGCTAAAACCTTAGTATTACCATGTTCAATATAGGAACTACCATCAGCTTGACCAAATACTCCCATTTTTATTCGAATTTGTCTTAATTCTAATGCACGTCTACCATCTGACCGTAATCCATTTTGATCTTGACTGCTGTCTGTCTCAATCATTTTTAAAAAAATAAAGGTAACATTAAGAGGAAAATACTACAGGACCAGTGTGGCCAGATTTGGCGTAATCGAGCGCATCGACGACGACACTAGTAACGACGAACCTGGTCTGCACCAGAACACCTTATTCTACATTCGCATCCTATGCTAATCTTTAAAACATCATAACTCCTGAACGGATTGGAGGATTTAATGTTTCGAAATACAAACAATGCGTATTTTTTTAAATGTATTTCGTTGAAATTTTGTTTACGAAGTACATAGTAGTATTTTTCGACTAACTCAGAGGTTCTGCCGTAGATGGCACGATATCGAGGGCATAAATCATAGACTAAGTATTGTATAGACCCACTATCAGGTATAAGTTATTTATTTTAACGCTGGTGTGGTTTTTAATTGTTTATCGCGGCTTTTTGTTTTTAAATCTACTATGTATACTTAACGATACATTTCTGGTAAGAGATACAGAGAAATTTCTGTCGCTGTTTCGTGATATTATTTGCTTGGGGCTTTGGTTCTGCCGAATTAAATATAACTATACGGTCTCCGTACAGTATTGTAAAACCAGTTATCACTTCGAGTACACATCGCCAGTGTACGCTCCTTTATCTATGTGTAGTTAATGACGTTCGACCGAGGTTCAGATGACTTTATTTTATCGATTTTTTCTAATCAGATTGACCTTGTGATTCCATTCACCTAACATGTAGTAGCAGTAGCCGTATTACGCGTGCGTTAGTAGGGGTAGCTGTCATTCCTCTTTTACTTCCATAGTTCATGAGATACGAGGAAAAACGATAGCTACATACATATTTGGCAAATGGTGGTGCCGTAAAATTGGCAAACATTTCGAATTTTTATCGTGCTAGCTAACATCGGATAATCTGTAGTCTCTATAATTCGATGAAGTTTTTAAAGAGCAACAAAATCTTACACAATGTTTCTACGTGCATGTTTCAAAAGAGTGGTTGAGAAGAGATACCTTTGATAACAAAAAAAAAAAAAGATAGATTCTGTTTGTGACAATTATCGCTGTCACAGACATTTGTATTTCTAAATTTAGACAGACCAAGACACATCGTTAAGACAGCTTTGAAACTATGAAGAGAATAGTGCAACAACCACCAACCAAATAGGATAACATCCCTTCTTGCCAGAGACCAAGTTTATTGATGCAAGATTTGATCATCATGAATTCTGTAATCATGTTTATTTTAATGTTCATTATGTTGATTAATGTCAAAGATGGATTGTTGATATCCCAGCATCCAAAGTTACTGGTGGTTTCGTACGATGCATTCAGGTACAATATATGACTTCCTTATTCTCTAACTTAGGAACAAGTATTGTACTAATCAATTGTGTGCTTTACAGATATGATTATTTTAACAGAAATCTAACTCCTTTTATGAACAAATTAAAACACGAAAGCACGCACACTGATTATATAATGAACATCTTTGTAACAAAAACATTTCCCAATCACCAAACAATGGCTACAGGGTTGTATGCAGAATCACATGGTGTTGTGGATAATGAATTTTATGATCCTGTTTCAGGAAATACAACAAAGTATTCTTACAATCTGTATCACTATGGTAATAATGTTCTTCCTATTTGGGTATGTAGAAAATAATGATGAATGTAGTATGTAAAAGTACTTGTGAGTATTTAATTTTATAAAGCCCATACATTTTTTTATTGCAACAGACTGTTAATGAGAAAGCAGGTGCTCAAAGAAGGAGTGGTACAATGATGTGGCCTGGTGGGATATTTGAGTACCAAGGAATTTCTCCTACATTTTCAGAGGTAGCTTTTTGTTAGGAAATTATAATTAAAATTTTAATTGAAATAATACTTTATATTTCCTTTTAGAATTTCAAAGAAACCATACCTTGGGAAGAAAGAATAGATACTTTAATATCATGGTTTGTCCATCCTACGCATCCAATAAACTTTGGAATAATGTATATCGAGGAACCAGATTATCATGGTCATGGTGTTGGAATAAACAGCCCTGCATTTAACAATATTCTTAGGAAATTAGACAACATAACTAAGTATCTGCATGATAAAATAGATCAACATGGTTTACACGATCTAAACGTTGTTCATTTAAGTGATCATGGAATGGCATCTGTTAAATTAGACAGGATAATAGATCTAACGAAATATGTTAACAGCTCCGATTACAAATTTGTGGGTACCTCGCCGGGTTTACATATTTTTCCTAATTCAGGTATTTTGGCTTGCTAACTTGATTTGTATAATTTTCGTAAAGATTTGTCAAATTTTCGCGGACTCATAAAGTGCGATCAAAACAAATTTTATTTTTCTAGGTAAAGAAGATGAAATTTATCAAGCACTGAAACAAGCATCAGAGGAAATAAAGACATTCAAGGTTTATAAAAGAGAGGAAATTCCTCAAAAGTATCATTATGGAAACAATACACGAGTTGGTCCTATTTTTGTTATTGCAGAAGTTGGATATGCATTCCAAAATCTTCTTGAAGCTATAGAATATTATAAAACGAAATTTAATATTACAGGTAATCATAATATCGAATCGATAACCGATATGTCGAAACTATCGAAATGTATAAGCTTTATGCATTGCCAAACGTAATATTTATTTTTAGTAAATGCCGACTCGGAGTTTGGTTTACATGGTTACGATAATGCAGCGTTAGAAATGCATCCATTCTTTTTTGCAAAAGGTCCTGCATTTATCCCCAAATGTAAATTGGAACCCTTCAACAACATAGACTTATTCCCCCTATTTTGTAAGATACTTGAGTTAGAGTGCCCAACAGTAAATGGCACTCTATCGCATGTAACAAAGTGCCTTAAGAAACACCAACTAGATATTACGATCATCGCTTACAGAATGATATGTAAGTGAAGGTTATGTTACCTATTACTATTCAACGTGTCTACAGTTTTCATATATCTATTGTGGGTTTAGTTGTAGCAACCACTATCTCTATGACAATGGTAGGAATTATAGGATCAATTATAATGTTTTATATGCGGAAACGACGATTAGGAGCGAAGAGTTATAGGTAAGTGGAGACCTATTTCAAACTATTTATTTTTTCTGTTCTGTGGCGGCGCTTCTCGCACTCGTCGATAGAGGGATGGGCGTCTTTTATTTTTCTCACAAGTATTCCGACCACTTATTCGTATATGTACACATTCCTCGACTGATTATTTATTTAATGTCCCTGCATCTAAGGGCCTTAGGGTTAGGGTTGCTTTATTGATGAACCCACTGTAGCCAGGCAGAGTTTCTTTCAAGCCGCCACAGTTTTATTAAATTATGCAAAAACGAGTACAATTAACGGGAAACTAAAGTTGGTCTTCTTATGACCATAATTTTAGATGTTTAAAGTTGAATTTTGAAGTACATTATAACAATGTAATATTGGTATTTTAATTTTTCAGGAGATATTATCCAGTGGATGGATAATATGTGTAAAGTAAACAAGCAAATAGATGAAACATTATTTTCATATTATACAATAGTTAAACGGAATGGGTTAACAAAAAAAAAAGAAGGCATACTGCGAAATAGTAGCATCTCTATACAGAATAAATAAAGAAATGTTAATCTCATTTCTTATAAATGAAGTCTTATTTTGTCAGATTTTAAAAAGTAGTAATACATTTATGTAGAGCTTTCTTTCTTTTTTTAACAATTAACAGTCTTATATACTAATTCATTAATCGTACAATTAATAATAATTATATTACGAATGCAAATTTTTAAATTCGTATAAAAGCATGTAATAGATTTTGTTAGTGATTAATGGTACATTAGTAAAATGTACGCAAAAATTTTTAATCTATGAATTGCACATTAATGCACAAGAAAATTAGAAATAATTCTTTGACAGGGAAGCAAACATATATTTCTCATTTATATGGTTATAGGAGATAAAATTTGGAAATTCGGAGAAAAAATATAATGTATAATACGATACTTTCCTGTGGCATTTTGTTCATAATTTCTGTTTTCTTTTAATATTACAGCTAAACAAAATAACGAGACCTTTTGTTTTTAGAAGAATACTGGAAGATTTGGAAGCACAGTACCATTGGGATGAAAAACACGATAGTCAAAATGCTACTTGCAAGTAAATTTACAAAGATTTGTTTCCAAACGTTTACTTTCTGCTTCATGTTTATGATGGATTAATTATTTCCATACGCAGAAAACAAAACATCGGAAATGAAAATATTAATAATATACGTATTTTTCTTTCCAGATTAAACCATTTCCCAGATTTATTCATACTTTCATGCCACACGAATAGTAGACATTCGTATGCAAATAGGGGGAATATTAAATATAGGAAATCCCTTTTTCATTGTAGATGACATATGTTTTGTACATCGTATGATCAATCGTATTACTTTTAACGATACATATAAATGAGAAAATACTTCTGTGATAATGAAAATTTACATCTTTAGACAAATCTCTGAATAACGTACTTATATATGTGAACAATCATATTAGTTATTGTATTAGGTATACAGATTTTTATGAGTTTTCGTTAAGTACATCTCATGAACTTTTTATCCTTTTAGACTGTATAACCATCGTAACGAATGGTATTTTATGATTAGAACGTAAGATACGAGCTGCGTGCAGACGGTATAATGCAATACTTGAAAGTCGTACGAACAACATTTGGTAAAACTACACAAATGAAATCGTAACAAACCGATACGGATAGTACCATTTCAGAATATAGACTGTAAGATAATTCAAATAAACTCGTCATACTTGTACAACAATTGTATAATGCTCATATGTACATATATCAAGTGTAAATGAATGCTATTACATAAAAAACCAACGTATATTGATCAAACCCGCCCAAAACTTTACAATCCGAATTCCTACAATAAATTTAACATTTCCTGTACCAATAAATTTTATTTCAATGATTTAAGTCTGATACAAGGAAAGGATGGCCTGCATTCGAACGAGGTTGAGGTCGAACGCACTCCGCATTTTCGATGCCACACTTTGCCACAATTTAATATGTCTCATTATTATATTATCATCTGCAAAGTTCTAATCGCCATGATAAAATATTCTAAATTTATTGCATCGTGAATGAAGTCACTGTCGCGCTTCGAACGAGCGTAACGAACATTCTACAGTATAATTAATCTTCGTTAAAAAAAGAAGAAACGACAAATAATAAATGAACTGGGGTTCGAAGATTTATGTAATTCTGAAACTGTCGATCATCGAGCCTACGCGTTTACGAGCCGCGATAACATAGCTGTCCCATGAAGATGGATGTTCACTGTAAGGCAAAATGATTATTTCAAAGTTCACGTATCTCATAGTAACACGTTTTTAACTCTGTTGTAAAAATAAAGGGAACAATGCTGCAGTACGAGTGGTTGGAAAATGGAGCTAACGGACTTTGGTGTAACCCGTACACATAATATGTATTGTATTCATTTTTAGAATTTGTTTCATTGATGTTACACCGTGCAGAACGATCCGGAACTTTGGCTAATGTACCGCAATTATCACGATACACTTGGCAATTATTTTCACAGCCTGCATAATAAACGGGAAGCGTTCTAATTACTACGACCTTGTATCGAAATTAGGGAAACACTGGAAATAAATCGTCGCGTCATATCTAAGCTTTTTTTAAAATAATCGCGTAACGATTCGTTTAACTGCGGTTGAAACGTTGAACCTTAATTAAGATTACAACTTTCGTTGAATGAAAGGATTCCCATTGAATGAACGGATCAAGAATTGTTTTGCTTTTTGCTCGCGGGTCGAAATTTTTATCAAGATACAAATTTTGCTTATCGTCGCCAGAATTAAATGGTCGCGCGCGACGGTGCAGAACGTAGGCGTCACGCGTCACGCTCAGGCATTGAAATCTCCGTGAATCTCGACGTCAGAGTTCGCAGAAACGCGTTACGCGCGCGATTACTTTCGATACAGTGTATAAAACATTTCACTCGGAGAAACCAGAGGCCACGCGTGATTCAACTATCCAAGGATCGCTTACATTTTTATTCTATTTCACGTTCTCCCAGGGAATTTGCAAACGCAATTCCCGTTCGAGATCCATACACTGGTTTAAAACGCAGGAACCACGAATTCTATAATAATTGTTCACGAACAATTTTGTAGAAATTGGTCAGTGTTAAACCCACGTATCGAGCCTCCTTCGTATTTCCACTGGAGTCTTATAATGTCAATGTTTGCGATCGCCAGAGCCAATACTCTCGAAATTCCAGCGAAGTCGAAGCTGATAATTGACATTCCCATTAGTCTTTGCTTCCCAAGACAATTAATGCAAATGTGTAGCATGGGATCGCCGCGTGATCGAGCGTTTCTGCTTTTTTCCTTTCGTTTTCCATTTGCATATATGCTAATCGCGGATAGATACGATGTTTTGACGAATTACGGAGGCGCTACGATTCGGTGAATTTCGTCGACGATGGAAAAATGCTTTTCAGCGTAATAATTCGGATGAAACTGGACGCGATTCGCTCGATCGGGATAAACGATCGAGGGACACGTTGTTTTTACGCGACGACGATAAGTGCAGCGCTTGCGTGATAGATCGTTGAGGATTTCTGGTGTTTTATTAAGCGTGGGTACCGGTGATACGCGAGTCTCAGTGTCAGTCGATCACCGAGAGCGTCCAAAGGAGGTTCGTGACAGTTTGTGATAGTTTCGAATTGTTTTGCGCGCGGAAACTTAACTTTCGAGTCGATACGAGTCTCGAATTCAATCAGAGTGCTCTAATTTTATCGGGAACGATTTTCTTATGTGATGATAGACGAGAAAATATTAATTCGATGATCGAAACAAGCTTAAAAGCTAATGCATATAGGAAACGTTATCAATGTTATCTTTCGGTCGAAGCGTCTCTTAATTCGATCGTTTTTTAAATCGATCGTGTACTTGGTTTCAATTCGTCGGGTTTAATTTTGTTACAGGACAAATCCCCGAGATGTTGTTCGAGTGTTTGGCGTTAATTGCCCTGCTGCATCCATTGGTGCACGTGTCTGCTCAAGGTTTGCAGTTTTTGATTGGCTTTTTGCAAACGCGAACAATTAACGTTCCATCACGGTCGCGTCACCCGCGTAAACTTTTTTCGAAACGAGAAACCGACTGTTTCAGATAATCGTTTCGGTTGAAAAACACAGATCCTTGGCGACTATCCGTTAAACGGTCGAAGAAACGATACTTGGCGCGGTAATGGCTCGTACCAGCTTTAAGTTTCATCGTTTCCAGCTAATCTCGAGATGCTGAGCGTTTCTCACGCGATAGATAATGTTTACTTAAAGTTCGAGGTTGTTCGAATGAATCGCACGCGATAGGCGAGTTGTATAATTTTACACTGTTATGTAATATCAACGGTAACCGTTAATACGGAGAACGTTGACGCGAAGAAAGTCCCTCGGTGAAATGGAGAACTTTCTACAAATTGAAACCTCAAACAACAGTGTGCTCGAAATAATTGCAGGACGTTGAAACGATTTTAATATGTTTCTCAATTTGTAAGAAAATTCATTTCTCAGTAATTCGAAGTAATTTGATAAATATCGTTACTCTGGTTTGCCAAGATTGGAGCTGGTTCCCTAAAATTAAGATTTTTCGGGGATTCCATTTCGCTTTTCACCGAGAAAGTTAAGCAACCGATGACGTACGATCGTCCAAACACTATCAAGGCCCGAAGACCTTCTAACCGAGAGAACCAAGTGTTCACGCTCTCTGGTCAACGATGGAGGTCAATTGGAGTCAGTTGGTATTACGCGAGTCGCGATAAAATGTAGATTTTTTTCGATCGGTTCTAACGAAATTGCCACAGCGGAGGAAAGTAATAGATCAAGTGTACGATTACGCCGGGTGAATCCACCGTCCAGCTATGGAAAGTTTTTAAATAAATAAATCTATAACGTCGGATCAACGAGCTGTCCTACATCTTCGTCCTCCAATTATTTCGAGCACGAATGTCTTATCTATTACAAAGACGCGTATTATTGTTGACCCAGTTGTGGACCAAGATGGATACCGTAATCTTACATCGTCCGAACATAGTTTATTTGCTTTAATTACACATTATGGCCGACGAATACAGCCATAACTCACTGTCGGATGTGTAACCTAAGTATTAACACTAACTTTACGTCATCTGCAATCAGGTTCTCTCGTCGAGATTTGCTTCTCCGCGCAAATCGGAATCGATTAAAATTTATGCAAGCCTCACAGATCCTCGTTCGTTCGTATTCCACGAACAACTTTGTTTAAACAACGAGTTTCGGACAGGAAGAAGAATTGTCATAGTCTGACATTTAAGTTTGGCCGTACAATCTGATATTCCTTGATGGAAAAATAATTTCTTGTCAACGAATGAATAATTGCGCGATAATATTTTGGTTCTTTATCTGTTTCTTATCTTCCGGTACTCGGTGCTCGATTAACTCGCGATCAGATTTTGAAAATCGTGGGAATATTCTTTTTAGAATCCTCCGTCGGGTTCGTTTATTCTTGTTAATAATTTCTTGCTCGCGTGTAATCGTCAGGGACATATCATCGATTAACGTGCAAAGTGTTACGTGTTGCGTTCCCTGAAATCCTCGCTGCGTTCAAACGGCGAATACTAATTTCGAATTCGATCCGTAAATTCATAATCGTGGCCTGCATCTCGCGTAAAAAACAGGAATATTTATGCGTTTCCTTGTTTCTTAGACTCTGGGAAATGAGTAGATACCTACAAAACGATTAGTATTTCGTTCAAGTCGTGTTCGACGATCGTTTTCGAAAATATTAATACCACACCTACACAAATGATCTTTACAATAAATTTCGTTCTCGATTTACGAAATAATTCAATTTTTTTGTTCAGTGAGTAACTGGCGAAAAGTTATCTTCGATTCGTCGTTTGAAATGTTTATTTAGAGTAGATAAGAATTTAGCGAGTTCGTACGAGGAAATAAGGATGATTCGTTCATGTTTGTCGTGTATTTCACGAATTTCGTTAATTCGATTACGCGCGGGTATTCCTAGGCTCGCTGTTGGAAAATTATTATTCAGCGTGAATGTGTTTTTGTATTGTCGTCGTGCTAATAGCCGAGTATTATTCAAACATATGTCATGACGCGTAATAACAAATTGCACAATGAGGCGTTCGAGCATACGTCGATTACGTTTGCTGGATGTTAATTACGGTTAAAATTCTGTGTTGTTTTTATTACTTCGTAAACAGGAAGCAATAAAAATTCTAACATCTGGAAATTGAATACCTCGAGATGAAGTTTTAATTAGACTATCGTGGGTTTGTAAAGATGCTGGCCAGAGATGCGTGACGCCGAATTTCGAGCCAGGAGTGTGTCTGAGCATCAGACAATGCGAACCTCTGAAGAGTTTGCTGCTACGCGATGGTCTGGCGGCAAGAGATTTCCTAATACGTTCGATCTGCTCGAACAACAACGGATACGCGGTGGTTTGCTGCCCTGCGAACACAGTGGAACCTTCCAGAGATGGTAAGGTGGTCGAAGAGAAGATCTACGGGCCCCTGGAACCACCACATTGTGGTTTCAGCAACATCAGCCACGCCAAAGTGGTCGGTGGCGAGCCAGCGTCGCTAGGTACGCGTCTTTCAGTACACTCACGCATTAAATTATTAAATATCAGTGGGTTTCGTGTATTTAAACGGTTTGTTGGAACGTAGGTGCGTGGCCCTGGATCGCCGCGTTAGGCTACCGCGGCATTAAAGACCCAACGAAACCAAGATGGCTGTGCGGGGGTTCCCTGATATCGGCGAGACACGTCCTGACAGCTGCCCACTGCGCGGTACGGGACGATCTGTACGTGGTTCGTATCGGTGACTTGAATTTGGAAAAAGAGGACGACGGGGCCCAACCGGCCCAGATCGAGATCGAGCAGAAGATCGTGCATCCTGGGTACACCAGCTCGCCAAGGGTTTCGAACGATATCGCTGTTCTCAGACTGGTGGAGGATGTACAGTTTACGAGTAAGCGTCGAATCGAACAATTATTAATACGCTATAAAACTCGAAACCCCGGAAATTTGTAGACTGGAACCACCACAAACTGAACTGAACTGATTACAGAGGTAGAAAATGTCACTTGATTATTGCAATTTTCAGGCTACGTTTACCCCATTTGCCTACCTGTGAAGGAGCCTCTTCGAAGCAAGAATTTCGAGCGATACTTCCCTTTCATCGCTGGATGGGGGGCGATAGGAACCAGTAAGTCACGTTTATCCAACGATTTCACAGTTGTTTCATTCGTTTTTCTTGTGGTTTTCTAGGAGGGCCAGCCAGCGCGGATCTCCTGGAAGTGCAAGTGCCGGTAGTCAGTCCCGACAATTGCAAACAAGCTTATTCTAGATTCGCGAGCGCGGTGATCGACGATCGAGTGTTGTGCGCCGGATACGCGCAGGGAGGAAAAGATGCGTGCCAGGTAAGCTTACTTTCGATACCTTGCACAGTGGTGTTTGCCCTTTTAAATTCAATCTAAACAATTATTTTCCGCAGGGTGACAGCGGAGGGCCTCTGATGTTGCCCCAGGGCGTATCAACTTTCTACCAGATAGGGGTTGTTTCGTACGGTTATAAATGCGCCGAGCCCGGTTACCCCGGTGTCTACACCAAAGTCACCGAGTTCCTCGACTTCATTACATCGTCGATGCAGTAATCCCTCGTTTTTGGATCGTCGCGGAACGATTCTGGTACCTGAAAGTATTTTCTGCCTCACGAAACCGTAATCTTAAGGTGCACGAACCGTGTGAAACGGCTACTAGTTTACGCGAGCGTTTCACAGTTCACGTATTAGGAACGCTTGGAAGAAGAACGACATCTCCGAACGTGATTCTTTCCCAAATCTGCTTGTCATAGCTTGTTACGTACTTGTATTTATTATCGATACCTTAAGGGTAAATAAAAGAGACAATGTTGAAAGCATCGAAAACTGTTTATTTCGCTAAATAAAGCCACACTACGTTTGGAACAAAGAAGTAAGTTTACACGGATACATACGATTAAAGCTATAATTAGATACTATTTAAGAGATACTTTAGCTCCATAGAAATTTTATATGCTAATGAATGCTAAAGGTATGTTGTTTTCCTAATTTTATGAAGTTTCTATCGACTACAGGTATCTTGTACAACGGCGTACGCGTTAAGTTTTGTCGCTATTTGTCTAAGCATCTCCGATAGAAAAATGTTCCAGACATTCGCGAGGTTAGAATGGTTCGTCCAAGTGTCCTGATACTTATTTCGAACGTATTACGTTGATATTATCTTCGATTTTAATCACACTTATCGCGTGTTCGAGGTCGTTGAGCGCCCAGTGGCAGTCAGAGGAAGGAAGCTCGGTGCATAGATAATCGACACAATTTATTTACAATAGAAAAACGTATCGGATGTGTATACATGTATATATATAAATATATATAGCCCTAGCCTTTTTAGTTGGAATACCAAGTCCGCGAGGCTCTCAGCCACGATCTCCTCTCCGGATAAAACCCGTTCCTCGCGATCCAGCATACACGAATAACGATCAAATGCCAGAACTAATCCTTAATAAACGTGCACTTATCTAATAAAGCTTTTAAACGATACATAATGTAACGATGCAATGCAATAACACTCGTAGTAACTTATATGTACGTAAACGCAGCAAGTTGAACCGTCCCAGATAGAAATTCTGACGGTCGTGTTGCTTCAAACTCGGCCCTCCCAACACCCCCCGTTGGTTCTACTCCCCCTAAATCTACGTCTAACGTCGGTCTCGATAATATATTACATACTTGATTCGCGACGAACGGCGGCGAATCGTCGAAAACGCAAACTCCGAACGACGAACAAAAACGATAGATTCGATATAGTTTCAACGTTGGAGAGATTTAGCAGCAGATCCTGATTCACGAACGAATCGAGAAATTTTTGTTCGTCGTTTGCAAAACGAAATTCTTCGTGTATTCTAACGGCTAATCGAACAACGCTACATTAGGACAGCGAATCGCGGCTGACCCGTATCGACGTACGCGATCTGAACGATGCTGTAGAGTTGCATTCCTACTTTTGGTTCGACGACTGACAGAAACGTTTCCTGGCCCACCATATGGCGGCCAGGGCGGCGGCCAGGAACCCGATCCCGGCTACGATACCCATGGAGATCGCCCTGTTTCTACGATACGCTGGTACCTCCAGGCTGACACGCTCGCTGGTCGCCACGTCGTCCGCCACCGACACGGCTGCCACCTCGAAAGTGTAGTAACTCTCCTCCTCCAACGTTTTTACTGTAAAAAATAGCTCCGACGTTCGTGGAATCGCCCGAGGAAAATACTATGGAACTGACTTTCAAGTAAAAAGACTGAGGGTCTTCTAAAAATCAGAATGTTTAGTTGGTAATCGATCGGAAATTACCTAGGTAGTAAGTGTCGGTCGTTTCCTCTTTGCCGTACAGTCGTTCGGATGGGCCCCTGAACCAGCCAACGGTGTAGAGTCTCACTTGCTCCTTGCCGTAAGCTGGTGGTTCCCAGGTCACCAAATAACCCTCCACGGTAGCTTGCACCCGAACGTTCAGTGGCGGACCCATTCTCTCGTCTTCTGGGTTAAAACACGCGTTACAACCCCTTAACCCTTTGCACTCCTGCGTGGAGCGCGACTCGACATCGGTTCTTATGTCAGGTGCCCCTTTGTCGAGTCCCGCTCGACATTTTTTCAAGTTCAAACCGATAGAATTAAATTTCATTTTCGTACATTCCGAAAGAAAGCATAAGGTTTGTGCAGTTTGCTCAAACAGAGAAATAATACCCGAGGGAAGAAGGGAAATCGATCTTTTCTTTGCGAAACAAGTTTCAAGAGATATTTAATTGGATTTGTTTGTTTTAAAAGAGTTGGGAGCTGCTGGTAACAAAATTGAAATATAATTTGGAGCGCAAAGGGTTACAAAGGTGTTCCTACCTGGCGGGCTACGATACTCCGACGCAGAATTCTCGTCGATCATATCTGAAATATACACAGTGTTACTTCCAAGTTTTTCCACGTTTTCTATGTAACGTACGAGGCTGAGTGAAGATCCGTAGCGTTTTACTAAACATCCCGTCCCCGTGCTTGTCCTGGCTGAGCACCATGAACTCGTACTCTCGTCCAGCGTTTAGGTTGTTCACGGTCGCCTCGGTGATCTTTCTCGACAAGATCTTCATGGTTCTCCATTCCGTGGTATCGGTTGGTTTGTACCTAATAGCAAACGTCGTTACACCATAGGAAAACGAGCAACGAAAAGCCTCCCTGATATCAATCTACTGTCCAAACAATGATTATCGAACGTTCGACGATCTCTTTGATTTTCTTCGCGTTTCATTTACCAGACGGAATACTCCGTTTTCGGCCTGACGAATCCCGGCACCCAAGTCAGGGTGACGGCGTTGTTGCTGCTGTTGGCGCTCAAATTGTACGGAGCCCTCGGTGGAACGTTCAGGACCATCAATTCCGTATCGGCGACTACCGTGGCGGCCTCGTTGCTAGCCGCGCATTGGTACAGCCCTCTATCCTGCTCTTGGATTCTGTCGATTGTTAAATTGCCACCGATTATCATGGTCCTGTCTGCCGGCACCGGTGAACCATCCTTTTAAACCACGTAATCCCCGTTAGTTCTTACTATTCTACTTAGTTTCGAACGAAGAAAGGCGATCCACCAAAAACCACGCACGGCGCAACCCGGATAACCAAAACGAAATTCTCTTGGCTGCGTTTCGATCACTGTGAAGATCTTTCATTCTTGGAATCGATCGTATCTTGCACCGAGATTCACAATCGGTGTTATCAGAGACTCGAGATATCGTTTCGGTAATCCGGGGTAAGGTTCCCCCGGTTATCCGGGAAATGGTTGTACCTTGTACCAGACGATCGAGGGCCGATGGGCCTGGTCTCCGTCCCGGGCGTCGCAGGGGATCTCCAGGGTCTCTCCCAGCTTCCTTATGTACAAATGCTGGGGCGTCACCGTAAATATCGGCGGCCTTTGAACGACCTGACAACGGGGGAAAAGTGTTAGAACGAAGAAACGGTCTCGCGGACGCGCGATGGACGCGACAGCGACAAGAAACGGTCCCTCTGGAAGCGTGCAATTGGAAAATAAAAGAACGGTTAGCACCCGGCTCGGGCCGGTCAATGGTCTTAATGACCATCGTCTCGTTCTTTGTGTCGAATCGGTGTACCTTGGAACGCGAACGAAAGTACGCGTACACCGTAGGAAAATTAATATATCGACCGATTAAGGGGCGGGAGATTCGTGTAAAATGGAACTCACTTCTTGTTTTACCATTTTGTATGAGTCTACCATCTTAAAACGCACTAGGCGGATGACCAGGATAGTCAATCATTGGTCGAATGAAAATAATTTGTTTCGTGAAAGAATCACCTTTTTCATGTACGCTTCGACCATAAAACCACGATGATTAAATACGCGAATAATAAGCAGCCTATTCGTCCAATTTTGTTTCGTGTTGGGGGCAATCTTCTCGAACGTGATTGCCCGCATTACGAAACGCAATTGGACGACCAGTCTACCTACTGTTCACATATTTATTCGTCATTATTTAAATCAACCGAAATACAGTTGTGTTTCTATAACTCTCTCTAAATGCAATATCTGATAGAACGTGTACAACGTTTACACTCGGTGATCGAGAAATTATTTCTCGCAGTATTGATTCGTAAATATCCAACGCGATTTTATTCGTTGACAGTTTGGAAATCCACTCACCACCGTGATGGTGGGACTAGGCCCTTCCGTGCCCAGCTCGTTGTAGGGCGTGCAAGTGTAACTTCCGGAATGGGTCTCGTCCACTTTGGTGAACGACAGAGAACCGTTTCTCCTGTAGAACACGCCCTGAACGTTGTACGGGTCGAACAGAAATCCATCCTTCTCCCAACGTAGGTTCGTCAGGGGTGGATTCGCCCTGAAGTGACAGTCCAGGAGGGCTGGCTTTCCGTATGGAAGGTAGACTTCCCGGGGAGCGTAAATAACCTTCGCCTTGACTTGAATTAAAATTTATATACACATATTATAGATGTAGATATGTAGATCAGCCTGTTAAATTTAATTGAAATCGACAAGGGTGTGGTCTGAGACTCTTCTGAAGATAAAGGTGCGCTCACACTGAACGTTGAGAAAGGCGGAGGCGCTCTGTTGTTCCCCAGTTTCGCCTGTCACCACGCATGTGTACTCCCCGAGGTCGCCCATGGCGGCCGGATTGATCACCAAGGCTCCATCCTCGGCGATGGTCGCTCTCCTCTTGAAATCCTGTCCAGAAAATTGAGAAACATTTCAAGCAACCGGAAGAAAATACAAAAAGAAAGAATCGAATCTTGCACCAGTTTACGATAGAAGAGCCCCTTAAGGGTTAACTCGAGGTGATCGCGATCGATTACCTCGATTTTCGTGATCTCCGTGCCCTCGCGGAACCAACTCACAATGGACTTCTCCCCTCTGAAGACGCAGTGGAAATTGACCGATTCACCCTCCATGACAGTTCTGTTTACGGGCGGGATCGCCAGCAACGTCTTACCTGGAACAGACGTCGGGAACGGCGACGCACCTGGGTTGAACGATTTAACGAGTCTGCCCAGTGTCAGGTTAGTAAGCGTCAGCGGGATTATAGTAATTTATTTATCAATTAGTGGCCCCGGTAGCAAGGGTTAATCGTTGATTCTCGTTAATTGTTCGTTAACAGAATGCTCGTCGATAAAACAAACTCCTGTTTCGTGCCCGCTAGTAAAGATCCAAAAATGTGTTTCGCTCAATTTGCCAATGCACAATGTTTCTCGAGATCTTTGGAAGAATTCGTGGATCTCGATTACAGTCGGTCAGTTCTCGATAAACGTTGAAAGAACGAGTTTGTTTCACCCCGGGGGTTAATTTCGTTCAGCAGCGGTAATTGCAACGCGTTAATCGTTCGCGATTGATTAGTGCCGGTTAATCGAGTTGTTGGCGTAAATCAAGCGCACGGAACGCGTTGTTCCGAATCGTTGCGTGACAGAGGTGTATCCTTTTCCCATTCGCGACGTTTTTTTTCCACGTTTCCTGGGAAAGGGCGCGGTCCTTTGTTCGCGGCATCGCGTTGTTCAACGACCTCGAGGGAATTTGTATCGTCGATTCGGATCGCCAGCGGTCGACAGCGTCGTCGGTGTCCCCGCGGTGACTCAATTCTCTATTAACGCCCGACAGAATTCTACCGGCAAAAACTACGATTCCGTCCGCGTTAACGAGTGAATCATCGACTCTGATCTCGCGGCCGCGAAGGGGGTCAATTCGAAACGAGAATTAAACTTCGTTCGTCGGATCGTACAAAGGAGTTCCCCTTTCGGGTTGGAACGATCTCGCGAGAGCATGTAAGACTATGGTTTATTAAAAGCTTACTTCCTCCTGGCTGAAAATCACGCAGGATTTTCACGGCTAAAGCCTCTTCGTCCAGCGTTAGTGTCGCACCAGGCGTGACCCATTTCAGTGCTCAGGGTTAGTCAGTCGGCGCTTAACTACGTTAATTCCCTTCGCCACTTGCTGTTATCGAATTAGCTGATCAACGGATACGAGAAAGTGAGCGACCTTACCATCTATAGCGAGGTGGAACCAGGTTCCATTGTTCCTGGAATTCGGCGTCCTGTTCGGGAAGATCACCCTGCACTCGTACCATCCCTGGTCGCTCTCGCGGATATTCGTCAGATTTATGCTACCCTGGCCGTAACCACGGCTGACCGCGTCTTCCAGGAGGTGGACGCGATCTTTGAAACCCATACCCACCGTCGAATGTCCGTTGTACCATGAGAAGATCGTTCGATCCTGCGAACGATCGTCAAACATCTGTTTTAGGAACTCGGTCGGCCCCACGAAATGTTAGAAACGACGAGTAACCAGGAACGTGGGTGGATGATTTTCCTTTGAGGGGGAAATATAGGAAGGAACCAGGAATATCCACCCTCAGACGTTCTTGCGAACTCGAAAATTTCACGAATTTCGTTTCAGCGTAGGCAATCACGCTCGAACATGTGCCCCCGCATAAAGTGCAAGCGGTGCATAAAGGTGGATCGATTATCAACAATGGCTACAATATGGAGCCCGTATTCAAAAGACGGATAGAGGAAACAACTTTATTCGCAATCCGATCACGGAAGAGGAAGTCCATTTTCGCCTGAATGGCGAACTCTCGTGTGAATTAGGTACACTCCCAGTTTTCAAACAATCAACCAACTACCTGTGCACAGCGACGGTCGATCAGTAAAAAGAGCATAAAATTTCCTATAAATTCATAATGTTTAAGTTTCTGTAAAAGTTCTGCAAGCTAGCGAAACATGTGTTCCATATTAGGGCAACTGACCCTGCTGATAATAAAATTGAGGGAGACTATTCGAGCAGAATTCTCTAAAGAATCGACTGCTGTGTCTTCCATAAACAGAAATTTTCCCAAAAAACTAAAAGAATCATCAAGATAACCTGCCCCCAAAAAATTCAATAGACAATTTCACGGTGTTGTGTTACGAAATGGGTGTCAGCGAATTTATATTGATCTGGTCGTACTTCTGACATCCTATTACATTCGCGAGGCCACCTGGAAGGTAACTGATTTCGTAACCATCGATTCCGATCGTGAGAACACGTCGACGTCCGTCGATTTTTTGGTCGAATGATTCCTCGATCGGACGAATAAAATATATATTCTCAATTTTTATCGTACGAACGAGATAACCTGGCAGAGGCAGAAAAGAACGCGAACGTGGTCCTCCGCGGAGACTTTGAGAGGCGAGTACCGTGGAAAGATGGCGTCGACGGACGAGGAGTCCATCTTTGTCGAAGATTGCGGAACGAGACGCGACGCACGTGCGTCCTCCGGGGAAAATGAAAAAGACTGGAACCCACGGGAGCCCTAGCGGTCAAAACGAGGCTGGCGAAAAGGCCGCTAATCGTCCCTAATCGTCTGACAATGCGTTAGCAGTGACCCACTGGTTGGACCCCTCGTGTCGCGGACTCGCCGTGACTGGATATAATGCAGCCTTGCGTCCCGTACTCCAATTACCAACCGTTCGACGGACAGAGAGGGAACCATCACCTGTTTTGCATACGCATCAGGGACCAATCAGGTTAAGTTCCACTTGATTTTATGCGGTAGCCATGTGCTGCGACGCTCAATCTGTTTCCGGCGTGCGGCTGCACGCGTCTCGAATGCAACATCCGCGAAACTGCGTCTTTCGCGCTTCCGGGGGTACCGTTCGACCCCCGCCGCACGGAACTCCATTCTTTCGTCGCCTACAGGTCTATTCAAAACACCAAATCTCTCGATGGAGATGAATTATACGCGTAGAATGGGAAGGCTATCGATAAATTCCAAGAAATAATAAACAGTGAGGTCGCATGGACCAATTTTTGTCGGTCAAAGGGGGGAAGGGGGGGGGGCCTCAAGGTTCTGTAACCCCACCCCTTCTGTCTGCCGCTGCCAGAAGTACCTTGTGTTTCGATTACAAAGTCAAATCGCAAGACACGTTCGTTTCCAGGCGATTATGCGAGGACTGAGCCCTAATAAGAAGCTACTTTACGACAAGGTTGTGCTTAAAAGCGGATGTCAGACTGTGAGACGTTTAAAAATTTCGTAGGGGACCCTGAGACGGCCACTATTTACATTTCTGGTTAAAAAGTTTATGGGAAGACTGCACCATAGCAAGCACGATACAATCGAAATCCTCGATATAGAATCGCCATTTTTAGGCGGTCGAATGTTACCATTGCACCCGTATATATTATAAACGATCAGTTAACGTAATAATTAATTACCACTTATAATTCATGGTGGATATGGGAGATATCATTCGATCAAAATGTTGCAAATCGGTATCGTTGCGAATTGTGCAATCGCGACCGCAATAGCGATCGTCGTGGCTATTGCGCGACGCGTCGAAATCGAGACTCGAAGTCACGGAAACCCAGAACGAGACTCGCGCGTTTCCCACGCGGATCGAATCGAAAGAAATCGAATCGCCTACCCTGCCTTGAGACCACTTTTCTACGCGGCTGATCTCGTTCTTCGGGAACAAATTAGCCAACCATCAGGCTTCGTTTAACCAATTTAACGCTTTTTAATCACCGATCGCTCTTTGCTCGCTGCGCAAATTCCCTCTCTGTCCGGTGGTTTAAAAAATTTATACGAAAGATACGAAGCTGTCGACACGATCCATAGGGAGGATTCACTTCCCGAACTGATCGATGGATGTTCTGCATTCAAGGTCGATCGAACGACACGGACACCAAATGCATTCGGATGAGTCGAAGTCTGATCTTCCTCACTTAACCGCAAACCGCGTCATCGTTGTGTAAGTTCACGCGACCCTCGAGATTTAAGCGATATTATTTACTATTGTTGCATAACAGCGCAAATGGAGGAAAATTGTTCAAAAACTGACTCTGTCCTGGCTCGTCTACCGTGGGGAGTCGTCAAGATCCATTCTGACAAGGGAAGAACTTCGATTTTACCTCGATACTTTCACAGACATGATTTTTCAATGAATTTCTTCAAAATGAAAATACATTTGTTCAGGTGGAAATCACGACCAAACAAGCATACTAGAATTCCTACACTCATCATCTTTCTACAGCTATTTCTATTGGAATCTGTCATACTGACAATGTAACATGTATTCCTCAAAAATGAAAATCGCCGACGATCAAGCAAGAATTCCACAATTTCTACCAGTTGGTAACTCCGTTACTTACATCACGGTTCCACTGAAGAATGTACGGGATCGGGGTCTCGTGCGGGAAGTCTAAATCGCAATTGAACACCGCGTACTCTCCCACCCCGGCGGTCAGGTAAGTCGGCTCCTTCTCTTCTTCCAGTATCAAGCTCTGGCTGAAAGCTGCAAAAGAGGAAAATAAACACGAATTACCAGCGATGATCAATTTCTTCGATCGATCGTCCCGAATTCCAACGTTTTAATGGAAACGAGGGACCAAATGACGACGGTAGTGCGCGTCGCGTGACGGATTTTACTCAATTTCAGCGAATTGGCTAATTCCTCGAGCCGCATAACGCGCGACCAGCGAGATCTCGAGCGAAACGCCAAAGTTCAATATCAACCAGAAACCTCCGCGGTTTCTCGCGCTCACCTTGATAGCAGAAGAAGATCGCCAGCAGCTGATGGATCCTCGGGGCGTTCGACATTTTTTTACAACCCTTCGGCGGAGTCTCTGTTTCAGTTTATCCGATCTCGTGGCTGGGGCTGGTCACGCTTCGCGACCGACGACGACGACGACGACGGCGAACGGAACACGGGAGCAAAACACATCTGTCATCACCCACACTCATCGACCATCGGCCACCACCAGCGATTAACGCGGCACACTGTCTCGCGATCGAGGCTGCGCTCCGGATCAGCCTCTCTCCTTCTTCCTCGATCTCTGCTCCGCTGATCCTCCGAAAGATTCAACGTTCCATCCCTCCAGCGATCCCTCCGATGCACCAGATCTATCGAGTTCGTGGGGGAGCGAGCGAAGGGGAGGTAACCGAGTTTCACGTCGCGTTCCTTCGACGATCTATCACCGGCGACGATCGATCGCTGTTTGACGGGTGATCGCGGGATATCGAGAAACACGGGGACGTCTGTATCGATGCAGCCTGACGAGCTGGTCCACCGTGGAACGTACGGTTACCGAGTGCGTCGGTTCGTCGCGATGATAAGCGTGTAATCGCTCCGCCTCGCTCAATCCGAGCGGATACGACGCCGAACAGAAGCGGTAACGAGCCGAGCAACCTGGTAGGGGTAACAAGACACGGTGTAGGGGGAGTGGAGAGACCTGCAAGGTACCAGACGATTCTATGATCGCGATCTAAGCGACCAACGCTGCGCTTTAGACACACCCACTATGCACTCTCCAGCGATCGACTTGCAAAATCCATTTATTGGGGTTGTGTTTGGAAAGTAGTTTCGTTTTCTTAAGGACAGGGGCGTTAATTGTATTCTTGATCAGTCAATTTTATTTTAATTAAGGGGAGAAACTACTGTGACGGCTGAAAATAAAGGCAACTTTCTTTTTATTCAATTCTCGTATTGAAGATCACGTTCTGTAAGGTCAGTTGAAGCCGACGAAGATGAAATAAAGGTATTGGTTGAAGCAACCCGACGAAGAACGACACGAGAAATAGTTAAGAGGTTAAATTTATCGAATTCGAAACACTATGTCTGATTAGGTGTTCCATCACGTCTCCGATGTAATCTTTAATTGCATCCTACCATTGTACCATTGTATTTTTCTGCGCGTTTTACTTGAGAATCATCTTCCATTCAGCTGGGCGAACCAATGTCCTTTCAATGGCCGACGTTTCGTGGTCAAAGGCGATCCGACGGAATTAACCCAAGCCGGAGATCAAGGGGGTCTTCTACTGTAAAACGCGTTTTCCTATGTTCTCTTTGGTATGCTTTTATAAAGAAACTATATATCAGCGTTTTGCATATATATTTATTACAAAGTTCGTTACTGTGCATCGACCCCAAGAATCCTGGCGAACAGTGCCATTATTGCATTATCGAAAAATGGCCTCCACATCGTTATCCATCGTCGGGATATAATTGTGCATTCCGCGAACCTCGACGCGACGAAGAACAAAACGGCCTTCGAGCAAAAACTAGATTGCACATCGAGCGTTGATGGTTTTAAATTTAGAAGCGCTTTAGTTTCCATCGGCTCGATGGCAGACATTGACCTCTTCTATGTTTATCAGATTGATTTAACGAACGATCTTCGACGGGAGGCTCGTAGGAACGTTGCCTCGAAAAGGTTCGCGCGATAGGTGTACAGCACGGGTCCCTCCTTTTATTTATACGCCCACGCAGCGTAATTGTCGTTGGCGGCGCTCTCGTAACGAAGACGCCGACTTCCGGTCGCGGGTATTTACCGTTCGTCGAGTTCACGGCGTTCTTTCTCGCCCTGAAAATGCCCCCCTCCCCCCATTCTACTTTCAAGAACTCTTTTGGCAATTAATGAGAACGTTTACGTTAATTCAACCATCGTCTCCGCTCGAGAATATTACATGTCTCATAATTTTTACGAAAATCTAGGAATTTTAGCCCTCAAACGGCGTACAGTGGGCCCATTTTCAATCGAATATAAATGTTATTACTCCTCATGCCAATGTAATGTTTCTAATTGAATTTCATAAGCTCACTGTAAAATTGGTTAAAAATAAAAAATTCAGGGCTTTAAATACGTCATAGAATATACAATTATCTATTTATCTTGAGATTTATGTAATTCTAATATGGATCCAATTGGACTCAGAGTTCGCTAAAGAGGATTAAGTTTTCTTTGAAATATTCGCAAGTTTTTCAATCGCGTCGATATTTTCGATACATCGAATATCGATCGTAGTTTGTTGCGGAGTTGTCGACGACGACGACGACGACGACGACGACGACGACGACGACGAAACTGCATAGTCCGAGCCGCGCGCCATTTGCGTGGGTGACCTCAGATTACGTCACATCCGTCCCTTGCTGCATTATCAGACTGCCCACAGCCTTGTCACGCTGTTGAGATAATGGATCCATTCGCATGGATCACGATCTAGGATTGGACGTGCCCGGGACACTGGAAATAAATGCGTGCATAATGATACCGGCCGTATTATTTCATCGACGAGTCATACTAGGGAACGAAACGAGTTGTTCCTGGTCCACCTGCCATGCGACCCAATGAATCCCCCGGGAAATCGAAAATGGGGTTCCCGCGCGATCCCCCTCCAACATCGTCTCGAAGGTTGCAACAATTATCCAGATTTCTTAACGATTTTCCACTCCAGTTTCTCCGAGAATGCAAGCTGCAATTAATATTATGAATTTTCTTTGTGTTCTTTACTTACGTAAATTGGACCGGTTTAACAGGAAAAAAACAAAAACAAATAGGGTGTAGAAAATGAGTAACACGAGAAATACGTACGAAAACAGGTGTCGGAGAAAGAGATACAGTATCAAAATATAATATCGTGAGATATCGTATCGTAGATATCATACTTACGATTAGGTTGCAGAGCAATTCGCTTGCATCTCGACCCGTAACCTTGCTTTCTCTACTACTATCTATCACATTTTCATCAATAATAACGTTTAGATGCTTGGAAACATACGATTGCATTTTCATTGAATAACAGTTAGAAGTAACTATAAAGTTTGACGTTTGTTCTACTTTTTTCCGAGTGGTAAAACGTTTTCCACTAATGTTTACACGCGGAACGATCTCCCTGGGTCTCGCGACGACACCATTCCTAAGTCGCGACGGAGCGTTGCTCTAATTTTTCGCGACGCGTACCCGCGACGTTTCGCATCGAGGGAAATCATGGAAATTGCGGTAATTCCCGGTAATCAGTGCCGTAGACGCGGTTGCGCAAATGTTCCTTGGTACGCGCGTTTAATAGCGGATCGCACGCAGCTTCTCCGCGAAATAACGAGCAGACCGAGATTCCGCGTTTCTTGCCTCAGCCGTCGAAAATATATCCCGAACGATTGGACACTGGCCTGGTTACGTCGAGCAACGATCACGATTGATCTTCGCCGCCTTGGCCGACAAAATTACGAATCCAACGATCCACCGGAGATCCTGCAATCCCCGACGAAGTGGAAACAATCTACTTGACGCAATGAAAGTATCACGATGGGCGAATTTTCTAAAATACGTTTGTATTTATTAAATTTGAACTTTATAAACTATCGTATATGTATATATATATATATATATATATGTATATGATACTAACGTAATATATTATATCAAGACACGATAATATAATATATTATAAACTATAGGTATAGTTTTGCCGTTCGAAAAGCCGGGGCAACGCGTGTCAGTATACCCGAAGATCTATCGATCCCTCGGTTCCTACAAACCGGTAAATCGAACTTCATTCGATATATTTGATAGAGCGCATTTTAGAGGGGATTTGGAGTTGAACGTAGATGTAATCCCATACACAGACACCCTCACCCATTGTATCCTTTCAAATGTCGCTTTATTTTTCATTTTATTTGATAATAAATTGTCTACAATTTGTCCTAGGTTAGTTACGTCTTGGAGTTGTTCTCGTGGGGGGAGGGGGGGAGGGGGGGAGGGGGGGAGGAGAGGTTCGAGAGATAAAAAGCATAGGTCGATCAATAAAACGGTGAAAAAATGATGGGATGGGCGTGAACAGCGAGCACTCGCGAATTTGATAAAGAACGAAAAAACGCGTCTCTCTTGTTGTATATCTTATTAGTTTTTTATTTCTCTGGTTTTTCTTTTTTTTTTTCGTGTCGCGCGTACAGGACGAAAAAGGGACGACAAGCGAAAGTAGTGAGGACAGACGGTACAGAAGAACGTTGCTGCGTGTGCGTGTACGTGTGTACGTTTACCTTGTGTACGCGTGTACGTGTGTGTCTGTGAGTGCAATCGAAGCGATTTCACGGACGAACCGTAAGGAAATTAAATCGAATCCGTTTGCGCGCGTGAACGCGTGAACGCGTGCCCCGCGATCGAACGGAGATATATGCTGACGATGATCGATAACTCGAAACGGCACACGATCTCATCAGGCCTGGGACCCTTCGAAATTTTAGTATTTCAATATCAATATACAACGTCGCTCAAATATTTAAGCGTTTCGCAATACAATCTCGAAAAGATCGAGCCCTACGCTGTTTAGACTCGAGCTTTGGAAAATCGATGATACGAGTACTATGTTCTTTGTGTCTTTTAAAATTTATTTCACGATTTCCTTAAAGGTAATGAAACGACTAAACGCACTGGTATTTTATGGATCTCTGATTCGAGAAGTCCCAGGCCCTACTGGCCACGAAACCAAGAAGGATTCACGCGATCGCAACTCTGAATGACGAGCGTTTCAGCGACCGAATCGTCACTGATAAATATCGATCGTTCTGCTCTATCGCGGGCGCGTACGCGCGTGCTCGCGTTGGATCCGCGAACGTTCAGCTACGACGGATGAGAATTTCACTCGCGACTCTGAAAAATACGCTATGCCAGATGGCTTTCAGGTACGTAAAGAGCGAATACCTAAATTAATTTCGTCCACATCCGGCGGGTACGTTCATACTCGCTCGAATTTCTAAATAAATAACGCGACGAAGGTGTAATCGCGAACGCAAAGAATGCCGTGACGATGATTCGAGGTAGACAGAGAAGAATCAGAAACTGGAAGATAAAGAGAAATAGAGAATAGAAAGCGGTGAACTGGGACGAAGTAGAAACGGGGTGGGACGAAGAAGAAGGCTGTCCAGGAACGAAAGGAATAGACGTAAAACGAAGTTATCGATAATGATTGTTGATGACGAACGTTACACGAACGAATTCACGATTCAACCATATTGTTCACTTAACGCGCGATCGCGCGAAACCATTGTCCATTCTCTCCTTCTATATCGGATCCTTCGTCTCGATCTCTATATACACACGTACATTACATATATATATATATACATTACCCCCACTCGTGGCCGTGCACTGTAATGGTGATTCCCTATAAATGAAAAGGAACTCGTTTATGGCGAATTCTTTCCATTTATTTTTACCAAACGTTCTCTGTTACACTGTGTTATACAAAGTAATTTTCTTTAATGTTAACAGGTTTCTGAAGTTTCTACTTTAAAAAAAAGTTGACTCCCAACTAACGTATGAAAACCGAATAAAAACTAAATAGAATAACATTGTATCTAAAAACATCCAGCATAAGTGCACTGTATTAATTTCAAAACCTACTATTGTAAAGTACAGACCCGAAGGGGTTAATCAATTACACGAGTACCAAAAGAGAATAAAAATAATATCGCTGGTCGTTCATCAGGAGCCATTGTTGCTCCTTAATCTTTGAATTACAAGGTAATAAATTACTACCCAACTCTTAGTACTTGTATCACGATCCTCGACAAATTTTTTAATTTATTCATACGCAAACTAATATTTCAATGATCGTAAGAAACGAGTTTCCTCCAATTTACCGCGAATCGCCATTACAGTGCACGAACACGAGTGGGAGTAACTGTATATGTGTGTATACAGAGATTTAGCAAGCAATATGCAGCAAGTCCTCGATTTCACGCTTCCAACTCGCGTTCTTTCGCACACTCTGTACCCGGATATTAACCAAACCCTCTTTGCGAAATGTCCCTGTAAAAATCGCCAGGACAATTTCACGCAGGATTCGTGCATTTCTTTTTACAGGGTCATCGAACTGCTCGAACAACAATGGTACGTACGATAGGATAAAATTCATGCAGTAGGGTGGTGGGTTAAATAAAGTGTTCTCTTCTTTTTACAAAGTATTGTACACGTCCGTTAAACTTTTCGCGATCGTCGAACGCATTCCAACATTCCACTCGATCTCGATCATTCGACTCGCATCGTCGCGAGGACTTGCTGTACACACGCGTGTGTCTCGATAAATCTCTCTTTGCCGTTTCGAGCTTAAACTTCCGGAGTCATTCGTGACGCGCAACAACGCTCCGAACCTCGTCCGCGAATGCATTTTCCTCTCCTCGATCCAGAGATCGTCCACTCTCGGCGCGTCCTCTTGAGATCGTTGTATCTAACTATGATATATCTACACGTTACTTATATGCCTATATCGATTGGTTGGTTTTTTCTCCTCTCTCTCTCTTTCTCTCTCTCACTCTCACTCTCTCTTTCTCTCTCTCTCTCTCTCTCTCTCTCTCTCGTATTCTCGCCTTCGTTCGACGGCGCGAGGGGCCCCGAGGAAAATCGGGAAAAAGATCGAACGAGTTTCCCGATCGTCCTCCCTCGACCATTCTACGTGGTAGCGTTTTGCTCGTCGAGCTCGAGTGAACGGGGAACAGAGGGGTGATTCGATCCGATCGCGGCCGTTCGACGTACAAAAAGATTTATCGATCGTGATCGTCTGTTCCATTGTTACTTTTTTTTTTTTTGTTCTTTTTATGGTTTCTTTTATCGCGGTGATATCGAACGCGTTTCGACGCCGCGAACGTTACCACGCAGATCGTGCACGCTCTGTTACGATCGTGGGCGGGGATCGGGCGAGATCACGGTCGAACGGAAACGCGTACGCAGATCGAGACGATTTCCGAATACACTTTTGGTTCGTAGCGACGATTCGGGAGTCGTCGAAATATCGGTGCTCGTACGCGTGATCTCGCCGATCACGTGATCGTGGGCATTGATCGACGCGCGTGCCTCTAAACACGATTAATTATTATGATACGACCAGCGACGCGATCGATCGCGATATATCGATCGTCGCGCGATCGCTCGCCGGCCCCACGGTGTCTGCCCTCGCAACAATCCCGGGGTGAGTAATTAATTAATTTTAAATGGAATCAATCGTCGCCGCGGTTCGTCGTTCCTCGTTGATTAATACGCTACACGCTACGGTCGTTTACGATTTACAATATCAATTAATTATCAAATTATTAAGTCAATCATTAGAATTACTTTAGAATATTGGTACTCTTTCGCGTCGCCTCCGTTTTTTTATTTATTTTTTTTTTTTTTTTTTTCGTTTTGTTATTTCATTTACTTCTTTCCGTATCGTTGCTCCATCTCTCTCCCTCTCTCTCTTTCTCTCTCTCACCGAGCATAATCGCGAGCATGTCACGCGTTCGTCGTTGGTTCGCGCGGTTTCTGCCCGCGTCTTTCCAACGTCAGTCACACGCGCGCGTGCATTATTCCTCGCTTCGTCTCTCGTTCGCGTCGTTCCGCCTGTCTCTTACGCTCCGAAACTCCCGTTTCTATCGTTCGTCTCAGTCTCTCGCCTCTCACGCACTCACGCAATCTTACACGCATACACACAGTCGCGCGCGCGCATTCGGATGCAGAACGGCAAATTATTGGCACGGCCGACAATCCGATAGATTCGAAATATAAATCAACCCTTGACGTTTCTCTCATCGAAAAATAGACCCTGAAAGGTTAAACACCGTTTTATATTTGGAAAATGGGCCTTGGAATATCCTCGTTCGTATATCTTCTAAAAAAAAAAAAAAAAAGAATATCAAAGCCCCCAGGGCTGGTCTCTATCGAACTGTCACCGGCCCTAATAATTTCGCGATTCACTGTACATTTGTAACGGAAAAATTATGGAGCGTCCGCGTCGTTCGCAACGTTGGTTTTCGTTAACGGTGCGCCGAAGTATAGTTGAATCGTGAGTAGGGCCCTTGCTAATATTTATATAATATAATTATGTATAATACGTACGTATAAATAAGTGTTTGTACTATAAAAAAAAAGAAAGAGAACAAAAAATCATGTGAAACACGCCGAGACGTCGAGGGCGGAAATGGTCGCGCGTCGTCGCGGCCCGAGAGCGTTCGATCGTCCCTCTAGATCCCTTCGGTGAACGCCAGAACAAAAAAATTAGAGCGCAACGGAAGATGAAGAAGCAACTTCCGGGCACCGTTCCCGCGGAACGTCTTGAAAGGTACCAACGATCGTCGGTTTAGGTCGCGTTCGATTCTACGTCGATCGTAAGTTAGCCCGTATATCACCATCGAACGCTCTGCGGACCTCGACCTTCGTACCCTCGACTCCGATGATGATTTAATACAATGCGTTTTGGTGAGAATTAGGTGGGTCTCGAAGAACGCCTTTCGTGTATGCGCGTGTATCGCGGTGTCTTGTACTCGACCGTATGTGCCTTGGCTCTCTTTCGTTCTCTCCGTATTTAGTGTGCGTGTCGTGTCGGTTTACGTGTCCCATGTGTTGCCTGCGCGCGCTCGATTCTCTCATCAATCGCTACGATACGCTTCGAACATCTAGACGCCATTTTCCACGTGGAAAAATTTAGAAAAAGAAGCTTTTTCTCAATAATAATAGAAAATAGAAAATTCAAAACACTGAAAAGTTGCTGGTGACAAAATTGAAACATAATTCGTAGTGCAAAGGGTTAAAACTGTAATTACTGGCGTTTGCAATCCTCCGAGTAAAATTACCGAACGCTTAAACATCGATTACCGATTTCAAACATCGTAAAAAAGAAGCAAAAATCGAGTATCCTCGAATCGAAGAGAAATTTAATATTCGAGGCGCGTAGAAAATGGCGGCGCAGGAGAATCGAGGGGGCGCCGTGCGCGCGTGTAACTCTTTAAATTCTTTCCCCTAAATTGCACGTACCAGGGCCGATCGGCGATGCTCCCGACGCGAGTGCACGTTATCGCGTGTGTTATTCGTGGTTCGAGTAGGTGGGGGGTTAGGACCTCTTGGGCCCGCGATGTCGAAGAGACGTGTCCCCTGTTTCCGTCGTCACGACGGAACGTCGTCGACGCGCGTTTTCGCGTATTGGCGAGTCGAGGCTCGCCGGGCAAAAGAGGCCCGATGGCGCGATGTATATGTACACGGTTATATATGTACACGTAGAAAAGACGGGGCGAGCGGATTCGAGATGTTCACGTGTGGGCGTGCACGCGCGTGGTACGCGAGCCTCGTGGCCGGCCGAGAGCGCGCGTAGATTTTTTTTCAAAGAACATTACATTAGTTTTATTTATTTATTTATTTTTTTTTTTTCACGTTTACGTTGCTTAAGAAAAATTATTGTGCCGATAATATGTTGGGTCGCTAGCGAAACCCTAAACAGGCAGTGCAGTACGAGTGAGTCCTTAAGCAATCTCGAGGCAAGCTTCGGCCTAATATCACGTTTCACGAGTCCGTTTTGCTCATCGATATAATTACTTTTTTTTGTTTATTAGTTTCTCCTGTGTGTGTGTGTGTGTCTATGTGTGTGTGTGAGTGTACGTGTATGCATGTACGTGTGTATACGCGTGTAGTAATTCTTCGATTATCTTACGTGTTTTATTTTTTTGTTGCTTCGCTTTCGCATTCATTTTTTTTTTTTCATCTTTTTTCGTTAATTATCACTTACAGTGTACGATTACGGTTAACCTTACGTGTCGTTTATTTTATTTACTTATTTTTTTTTCATTAATTCATTTCGTTAATGGTATTACGGAGCACGGTACAGTTTCTTTGGAGTATCATGCCGTCGCGTCTTACCGTTTCTGCTCGAATATAGAATTCTCATCGCACTTCTCGTTTCGGAACCCCGTCCACCGACGTCGTATCGAGCGAACTTCCTCCGTTCGTTTACCATCGGTTCTCTCGTTAGTATTTTCCCTCTACTATTCACGAATACGGTATCGCTAAAAGTCGGTGCGCGTCCGCCGTGGCCGAGATTCCTATGGGAACGTCGATTACCCGGAGGAAGTTCGACTCGCCTCGAGTGTCAGCAACGGATCAGACCTCCGACGTTCTTTTCTCGTCCGCTTACAAACGTACAATAGTTCTACCGCGTCGGTGCTCGCGGGATTTATGGTATCCTGAGCCTCTGGCGAGCGTTTTCGTAAAGATGGTTGCCCAGTGGAATTGACTTGAAGTTGCCTACAGTGGAATCGCTCGAGATGATCCTCGTTGTGCTTCAAAACGGTTGGTCTCCGGATTCGATGATCGACGCCCGCTCGGGATCGCTTTCGCGTAGGTAAATTTGCGTCACAGCCGGGGGGTTTCTTGGGTTCTCCTTCGGACTTCTGCGCCTCCCGCTAGCCCACGAAATCTCTTCTCGTCTGCCTCGACGAACGGATATACAACCGTCCGTGTTTCCTCAACTTTCGCTAACCTGAGGTGGACAACGAGCTATGGGGGATCCAAGGATGCCTGTAGAGCCTGGTACCAGGTTCCAGGTGCCGTCAACAGGCACTTTCCAGGTGAGCGCTCTGCCGCCTCCTCGCCTGTCGTTGCCGGAACTGATGGAACTCCGCCTTCATCGCCTGCACCCTGGCCTCGATGTTGTCCCTGGTGTACCTGGTGGGCTGATGGTGTACCGTGTGCACCTGGTGTATGTGGGGCACGTGGATGGTGTGGATCTGGTGTACGGGTGGCCTCTCCTCTCTGGTGGGGGTGGAGGCGGAGGTGGGCGTCGGGGTGCAGGACACGGGATCGAACTCGTAGTGGCCGTCGACGCTGCCCGCGTCCACGGTCGTCTGAATGTGCGTGTGCCCTACCTTGGCCTGGTCCTGCAGCTCCAGCCATCTGCCCACCAGAGGCGGGGGCGGTGGCCTGTACGGAGGCGGTCGCCACTCGGCCACCGTGCTGCCGCTCCTCGAACTCTGGTTCTGCTGCGAGGTGTTCTTGCTGCCGAAACCGGAGCTGCTGGATCTGCTCTCGGGCGAGGTCTCGAGGTCGGGCGAAGCGGCCAGCTCCGGCGCGGATCTCGCGTGCCTGGCGTGCCGGGGGGGCAGCCTCGCCCTCGGCCTACCCGCGGGCTGAGGCGGCGAGGACGTGGCCAGCGGCTGCACGGGCACGAACCTCCTGGACTCCGCGTGGATGGCCTTCAGCGAGGGCAGTTCCTGGCTGTATCGCTGGTGCATGGTGCGCAGCTGAAGGTAATCGGGCGGCGTCGGGAAGGAACGTTCGCCAGACGACGGCTGCCTCACGGAGCTGAGATCGCTGAAGTAAAGGGGCGTCCATGGCACCTGGGGACCCGTAGGCGAGCTGGCCAGGAACCTGGGCGAGGATATCGTGCAGATGGCCGGCGCGATCCTCGCCAGCGAGTTCACCGTCGCCAGATGATGGATCGAGGGTAGACCGCCGTTGATGGACACGCCGCTACCGTCGGACCTGAGGCTCAGCTGGCTGGTGCCGACCAGCGGCCGCCGCCAGGAGGACTTGAGACGCTGCTTGGGTAGAAAACCGCCGTCGTCGCTGCTGGACGCGTCCAGGATGCTGTTGTTCGCCGAGCTGACCACCGAGTCCGCCACGACGAAACGGCCGTCGGCCGCGCGCGAGATCTTACCCAGCGGCCGACCGCGACACGAGTCCGGCGTGTCCGGGGTCAGGATCTCCCGCAGGAGATTTAGACCTGGTACTCGGCTTTTTCTAGGTCTACGGGTAGGACAGAACGGGCGTTAGAGAGATCGAAGCGGTGGCGGGTTCAGCCAGCGGCGGCCGCACGGTCATCGTCGAAGGAGAAAACCTTTTACGCGTCGTTCAAACTTTCGAAATATTGGCGAGCCTTGATCTATACGATGGAAGAGACACTGGGGGATGTTTCTTAGGAAGATTACAAATGATGCGTCTGATTTACCGAGAATAAAATTAATTTCAATAGAGAATGACCGTGTGCAATTATTATGATTCACGTTTTATTGGCTGCTGCTGGTTGTGAGACATCGGCTTCATGGATTACATTTACCGATAATGAGAGTGGATTGACAAGAATTGAGTATAAATGGGGTGGTAAGTAAATACAGTCACTCGGTTCTTTTAATTCCACGCGCGCTTGGTATAACAAATCGTAGGGGGGCACGCGCATGAATTGAGCGGGTCAATCAAAGCGTTACGAGTCGGAATAAAATTTTTTAAATAGAAAAACTACCTTCAGAATAGGTTCATATTAATCTAAAATTATAGACGTGTATGTCAGCATTCCTGAGGTTTTTTAATTCATTCAATTCCTGAATTCTTTGCATCTCTTCCATCGACTATACTTCCGCAATGGCTGGAAACTTTCTGCAGACAAAATCAAATAGTTTGAATAAGAAATTCTCGTTATTTTTACGCATTTCCCTTCGAGAAAGAAATGTTCCTCCTCCGATGTTGATCGTCGACCGTACACAGCGAGAACGTGCAACAACAACGTCGTAAAAAACACGCAACGTTAACACGAACAAAAACAAGGAGCTAGTAAAAACAAAACAACGAAAGGCAGACGTACAAGTGTAACGTACAAGATAATAATCTTTTTTAAGAATCATTTACGTGTACGTATATAAATAACGAATAACGGATGCAGGCAGGGAAGGCATGCGCATGCGCATTCCGGTGCACGAGTGGTCGGGCGTGACGTGGGTTGTGGGTGGGTGGGCGTTGCCAGTGACTGGAATTTTCTGTCATATATTCTTTTTTTTTTTAATTTTTTTTTTTATCTTGTTCTGATTTAAATTAAATTCTTTTTTGTCAGATATTTTTCGCCCAATGTATAATTTTTTTTTTTATTTAAAGTGATAGCAATCGTGGATTTAGGTGCTCCGAAACTCGTCACCTTTTCTCCTCCTTCGGGTCCGGCAGCAAGGAAAGATGGGGGAGAGAGAATGTTGTAACACAACGATTACATTCACAAAAAACAATATCGTGGCGATAATGATAAGAAATATAACGCTAAATAACCGAACGTTACTTCTAGGCGGTGGTGGTTTAGGGAGCAAATAGATAACACGTGTATACCAACGGAGTGTGTCTCGTGTTTCCGGTTCCACGAAGGCCGAGACTCTCCATTCGTCGATCGCGAGCAAACCCGTTCGCAACGGAATATACTCAAAGAAGTCGAAACAAAACCATAAATCACGGATGAGTGACGGATGATCAGGGTTGGGCATCGATCGACCAAAATTTTGTCAGAATTAGTCGGAAATCTATCGATCGTCAAACGGAAATCGTCAAGAATTTCCTCTGCACGCGTTCGCGAAATTAAATATACATTTGAAAAGTTATTTCGAAGCCAAGTAATACCATTAAATTATAAAACAATTAGCTTGGGATACTCTTATTCTTTCATATTTATTCGGGGAACAAAGAATGTTAAGATCGAGTTAACAATTATTTTAATCGCGACGTTTGCCCAACGCTGTTGATGAAGATATTCGAGAAAAACGAAAAACGAAAGAAATCGGGGGATGCGCCCGGTCGGATAATAATCAAAGAACGAGAATTCGATGCAACGATACAAATATTGTCGGTAAATGGCGGACGTGGAGGTCGTGGGTGTTGGTGGGAGGGATTTATAAGCACAGACAATAATGTATATCGTAGGGATCGAGGATCGAACAAATTGTACAACGACGAACGTCGTGTAAAAACGATCAACAATGAATATTACAATGAATAATCGTGTCTGGGATGCAGTTCGGGGTAGAGCCGCATCGACAGCGGCTTACCTATTGTTCATGTCCGAGTGTTCGAGTGTGAACGCGTCGATTTTACGGCTCGTCTAAAATCGATAGACTGGAAACAGTAAAAAGGATACAAGAAGTATTTTTTTCGATTAAAAATTTCGATCGATTTGTCAAGCGTCCCGATTGCTATCGCAACGATAGCGCGATTGCGTTTATCTTATTGGTCATGCTCAGTCAATGTGTGACATGCTACGTGAGAGAAAATGGTTTCAATAAGCGAACGAAGGCCTCCCGTTCAGATCGGTACGTTTGTCGTGATCGAGATCGCAACGTGAAGAGAAAAAAAGGGTTAAAGGTGAGAGTAAACAGCGGGGGGCCGATACCGGTAGAACATCTCGAATACGTCGATATTGTTTCGACGTTACTTTAAATCTTCTCAGCTGCCAGGATCGGCCCAAAGTGTTCATCTAAAGAAACGAAGCAAGCTATCGATCCTTCGTTAAGAAATAATTCGGTACGGTGCATCTACTATAGAGAAATTTTGCGCGAGATCCATGGAACACTTTAATATACGAGCAAAAGAGATCCAAGCGACCTCGATGGTCCTCCGAAAACAATTCGTGCGAGTCAGGAACGTGCAAAATCTATGTAAAATGTTTCTATAACAAATATAACGAATCATTCTTTTCACACTGTCGTCGATAATACGGAACAGAGTTTCGTTGATATAAATTTAAGAGCACGTTGAAGCCACGGAGTCGCTTGGACGTCGAGTATCGTCTATCGATCGAGCGAGTGGCACAACGAGAGACGATGGGAAACTGCTAAAAGTGGAGAAAAGTCGAGCGAAGATGAGGTGACGACGGTGAACGTTGGTGAGCAGTGGGCGAACGAAAAAAAACAGAAAAGGGGTAAGGGTGAGTGACAGAGAACGAGTGTGAAAACGGGTGAAAAGAAGGGCGAGTGACAGTATGCGCAGAGCGTAATGCGACTGGCAGATAAGACAGAACGTAAATAAAAAGAGAAATGAAAGAAACTGTGAGCGAACAAGTCCAACTATGGATACGATTACGATGGGTCGAGGCGAGATCGAGAGAATGAGCGACTCGAGCGCGACGGACGGTCGATCATCGAAACGATCCGCGCGTCGATTGAAAAAAACAGGAACATTTTTAAACCGTATGCATCTACCGTCTTGCCTCGAGTGTCTCTTATCTATGTACTCCCTAATTCCGCCGAACGAAGGTATTAGGGTACTGACTGGATGTTACTAGTGTGACTCCTAGCTGTATATGCCTGTACTGCCGATCTCATCTACAGTCATGACAATCATCCTAAGTAGTAGATAGTAGTAGATGGTAGTGGTAGATTAGTAGGTCCTAGCAGGTAACATGGCAGAGCTGTAGTCTCGCACAGTAGGTAGTAGTAGTAATAGTAGCAGTAGTAGTAGTAGTAGCGGTGGTAGTACAGTAGGTAAAAGTAGTAGTAGTAATACTGGTAAAACGGAACAAGTCCCCAGCGGCAAGTGGCGTTTTATTTGCTCGTTCGATCGATCAACGACAGTGCCGGACGACAGTGTCGATCGGGCGTCTCGTTTGACCGATCGACGGTTCATATATCGTTCGGCGTTTAGGTCTTTCGGACACACACAAAAACACATACATGGTATACCCGTCGTCGGCGAGATCTTTATATTTCGTGGTCTCGGGAGCAACCGTTGTCTCGGGTACGTAGTAGTAGGTAGTGGTAGCAGTAGTAGTAGTAGTAGTGATGGTAGTAGCAGTAATAGTAGTAGCAGTACTTGGTTTTTTTTTTTTATTATTATTTTTCAGTGTGGCTAGCGGAGGTTAGGCTTACTGTTCCGCCTCTCTATGATAAACACGCTCTCGTAATCTCGATTATCGTGGTGGAGCGCGTGATGGTCACGATCACGGTTCGGGGGGGCCTGCTCGTGGACCGGCTCCGAGGTGGCAGTGGCGGGGGTGGTTACTTGCGTAGGAAGTGGTGGTTGATGAAGAGGTTGTGGTGGTGGTGGTGGTAGTTGCGGATTCAACGGGCTGCAACGGGTCAGCGTCGAGACTGACTCGCCGCACGCGTTTAGATTTGTCGACCTACAGAAAACACAGAGAGAGAGGAGGACAAGAGACGCCCACGTTTTTCTTTTTTCTTTTCTTTCATTTCTAAGCTTCTTCTTCCATATTTCTCTATTTTATCCTTTATCGCTTTCGTCGTGGTTCCTCTCGTTTTTATCGCGGGGGAAACGGAGGGGATGAGAGGCGGATGGAGAGAAAGAAGTCTTTGCGTTCGCTTCGTGCCTCATGCAGGATTCTTTTTCTCCCAAAGACCGCTGTTCGAGATCTCTTTCTCTCCGGATGCATCTCTCGGTCCCCGTTCCGAGAATCTCTCTATCTCGCGTTTGGCTCTCTTCTGATCCTTGCTCTGACCGCGATCCTCGAAACGTCGATCGTCGAGGACTCGAAACCAGGACCGGTGTTCGCAGTCCGCGCACGATTCTCCCTCGGAATTGCCTCCGTTCGAGCGATACGATGCACTTTCACGATCCTCTGATCCCCGTACGAGGAAATGTGTTCCACGGTTCGTGCACGCGGCAGGAGAAACCGTGCGCGACGACCACGAATCCGGACCCGCCGGTGAAAAAGAATCTTGGCAGTGGCTGAACCGTCCAGCCCGTTCTGGATATATACGTGTAGGTATAAACGTGCATTATCGGCTCGTTTCGTGAAAACCCTCGGGATATAAGCGCGACAGCATTCGTATTTGCGCGAGGGTGTACGGCCAGAGATGGACCAAACATCTTCACACAATTTATATTCGTACCGTTTCCTTTTATAATTTTATTCGAGCTTGTTTTGTTACCCATCTTTGGCTGTACAACGAAAAAATAGGGCTAGTCGCGAGGGTGGCGATTCTGTTCTTATTTCCACGGACAATAAAACTTCTATTGATCAAGCAACGAATTTTCGATTCGTGAGGGCGAGTTATCGGGATCGATCACGAGATTTTTACCAACCGAGAACATTTATTTTTCATTGTGAATTTCATTGAAATTGAAACTGTTTTCTTTTGTACGAATTTCATCTAAATTCTTTCGACGAAATCTAACATTCCATAACTGTTCTTTAATTAGTTGAAAATGCAGTCAGCCTAGGGTACGTGCTCGAGAATTCTTGACATTTTTCAGCGAATTCCGTTCCTGTTCCTCGGGGAAAACAATTTTTAAGTAGTTGAAGATTCCTCTTAAATACTTCGGAATTCTGTACCAGCTCGAGAATATGGGAAAATACTGCGTACCAAATACTACCTTGTTTTTAATGATGTCAATTCTAGTAAAATAAAATATTAAATAAATAACCCGTATTGGAAAACGATATTGTTTCGTTCTAAAAATTGTCGAGATTCGCGAGAAAACACGATCGCTCTGCGATTTTTGTTTACAACAGTTCTGCATTAAACAGTTTGCGAGTAATTTAAGGTGATCAAGCTAAATGACTCGCCCTCGATTGGAGAAGAGTAATGGCAACATTTGTTCGCGAAATTGTATCCTGTTATCGATTCGAATTAAGTGGGTTTTCTCGTATTTAGACTGGATAAAAGCTCGATTTTTTTTACCTCTGTTTCGAGTTTGAAGTTGCAACAGTACATTTTCAAAATAGCAGAGTAAACACCCACTATTACCCTAAACTAAAAATTCTAATAGAAAAATAATCTACAAGCTTGCAGTGAAATTATTTTCTTCGGAGTGCCTTCGTTTCAACTCGCCAATTATCAGAGTAAGTAACACGAAAAAATTCAGGCAACGTCTCCAAAAGTATATTAATCAGCATACAAAATTCCCAAAATTTCCTTCGAGAAACCCGCTTAATTTCGATTAATCGCGGGCTAATCGACGATTTATTTGCGGGCCGGAAGCGCTCGAACCGCTTGCAAATGCACACATCCCGTGCGCCGTTGGCCTAATATCGTCGACGTAAATATGAAACGAGCATTAATTACGTTAATGCAAACATTTATGGCCGTAGGGGGCGTCTGGCGAGCGCTCGCGTCGTCGAAATAATATCGCGAGAATCGCGAGCCCTTCCAGTTCGACTTCAAAACGATCAAAGCGATCGTGGAGACTTATCCTGGGAAGGGGAGGAACACCCTCGCGATAAGCCCGATAGGAAAACTCGTGGATGAATCGACGTGTCGGCGATCTCGAGCGTAATGTTCGATAAAATAACACATAAACGAAGGAAACGTGGTGGGAGAGTAGAAACGGCGTCGGTGAAAATGAAGGACGGTGATTGAATTATTCGCGAAAAATGTTCCCCGGTTGGTCGGCGGCGGGTGAACGAACGAAAACAAAAACAGGGGTGGAAAGAGAGGGGGGAGGGGGGACGGTATGGCGTTGGTGTGGGCGAAAACAAAGAGAGGGGTAGTGAAACGGGCGTCGAACGACAAACGAAATGGCTCGTCGCGGGAAACAAAGGCGACATACGATCCAGAATAGGCATCACTGCAGTCGTATTGTGGACTTTTGGATGCCACGATGGAAAATCATAATAGTCGGCTGAGTACACCCGCTACTACACGTGCAGTCCGCTTGGCGTGATTTCAAAAGCTGAACACCTCGGTGTTATCGAGGGCCGATTTTTCTCTTTCTTTTTCTTTTCTGGTTTTTTTTTTTATTTTTTTTTTTTTTTTTTATTATACGTACGGTTCGTCGGGAAATGCGATGACGTCGGCGAGCGTGCTCTCTCACGACCGTTTTCTCTGTCTCGACTAGCTTTTCATTTCTGCCGTTATCGTTCGGTTAACTCTGTTCTCTCTGTTTTTCTGTTCCGCTTCTGTCAACGGACGATGCACGCCAACGCGAGGCTCGAGCGGGACGCGATCGGTCTGGTCATGGGGGAAATCGACTTCTATCGCGGAATCGATTCATCCCTGAAAGGAGCTGGCCGGTCCTAAAAGTTCTCGAAAGGAAGGCTTTAAAATTTAGACGCCAGCTCCTTCAGAATTACATCATCACTCGATAAGGGCTAGAATTCACAGTTGTTCGGCTCCAGAATCGAGTATTATTGTTCTCACGGAAGAAATACTCCTGATATAAATTGGACTAATATAGTACCATTGCAAACACGAACGAGTCGCCTGACTTATGGTGGTACTCGACTTAATAGTTGCGTATTAGGAACGAGCTGGTGTGTATTCGAGTCTTAACAAATCTAACCATACGTATAATATATGTATAATGAAAAGTAGCGATAATGCATGAGTACAAAATTTATGAGTTTATGGATCTGTATATTTTGTGCGGACTTGTATGAACTTTTCAACAGATTTGCAACGCATTTATCAATTCACGACCAATCGAAATCGAACAAAGGATGAGCATACAGTGAAATCGAGTGCAACGATCGCATTTGTCGTGAATGCAGGACGCTTTTTTAACAAGAACGACGCTGCTTGCGTAAACGGGTCCGTGGACCAAAATGGCGGTGTTCACCGTGGATACGTTCTTCGTCCGCGGGCGGCGCCAGCGTCTTGTAACGTTCGACAAACGCATTCTTACGAGAGAACAATAACACTGTGCAGCATCGCGGACCAGGCCGAGCGCGAGATGATCGCTCGAATAACAAGTGCACGCGCAAAGACGGACGCGAACGAGCTTGTCAGGGTTCATCGTTTTGCTTCACACGACCATCGAAACGTAATCGTTCTCCAACCTCGTCCAAAATACCTCTGCTGCTGCGGTTTAGTCTGCCGTTTTAGCGATCGCTACCGCGACACAGAACAATCTACGCGTTTTGCTCGCGTTGTGTCATGTATGGCGCAAGATCAAAAGAGATCTTCCCTCGTTTCGATTATTTCTTTTCTCGTACGCGTGTTCTCTTCGCTTCGTTCGTCCTTTATGGCGACTACTTTTCTCGATCAAAGGGAAGTGACCGCTGTTCCGTAAAAAAAACTGAACAGAGACGGACGGAGAGAACCACGGGATTCTCTCCCACGTCTCTCTGTCTCTTGAAGATACGTCGTCGGACCGCGATATCGTTCGTTCTACAACCGTTTAAGTTCGAGAAAGAAAGAATTATCGCCACGAACGCAATAGATCTTTCTTTCTCCGCCACCAGCGATCTCCAAAGTTGGAGAGAACGATTTTAAAAAAGGGAAATTTCTGCCTCAACGAGGAGTAGCTTCAAGCGTTGCTAATAGAAACGATATCTTCGATGGTCGAGACATTTTGGAGAACGCTGGCCCATACTTACACGTTTCTCTTGACGTTTCTCGTTTCCTTGGTCATCGAACGAACGATACCCGCGACTATCACCGTGACAATATGAATATGTATAAATAGCTCGAATATTTTGTCAGCTATCGATTACTCGTGAGAGGTTTCGTAAATGCTTGCGGTGCTTCGGTCGCCTAATGCTCGTAAGAGGGGGTGGAGTGGACTTAATTGCTAGCTCTGGCTAAACCTAAGTGATGTACTTGTATCTCTTCGAGGTCGCATCTGCCCCTGATATGTGTCTACAGCGATTCGCATCATCGTCGGAACGTAACTGGGATATTTGTCAAAATTCTCGCGAGCAGAGAAGTTATTAATTAATTAGAAGCGCAGGTGCGACCTCCTCGGTCTACGTCCTCGATTTAGTATTAATCTTTGAGTGATCCCCGTTAGGGGGATCAAAAAAATTAGGCGATTTGGAACCTGTATGGGGTATGTGGGAGATCCCGATATTGACACTCACTTTTTCAAAGGCACTGTTCCCTGGGGCCCCTGCCCTGCGCCGTTCCTGGCTTCGGTGACCCGGCAGGCCACCATACTATACGCTGAAAGCAGTTCTACAATGTTACAAAATTATGTTAACTGGTTGTCTGATCTCGTTCACTGGTGCTCGCTCAGCAACTGCGTTGTCGGGGCGTCGTCGCCTTCCCGAGCCACTTTCCAAGACAAACCCGGTGCCCCGTTCTATATAATTTCGATCACTATCGGCACGTGTCTTGGAGAAGGAACGACGAAGGAAGACGACGCGACCGAGAGCCCAGGTGCAGGCCAGACTCGAAGAAACAACGACGAAGAGTTCCGTCTCGATGTCCTCTGCAGCTCCCTACCTTTCTCCTGTTTTCGTCTCTTCCGCTTATTGCAAATCTTCACCGCGCATATGCTGAGGATGATGGCGACGATAAAGAAGAGTATACCACCGACGACGCCCGCGGTGATCGCCTTGTGCTTCACGCGAGCCGGCACCGGGAATTTCACCAGCTCGCTGGCGCCGTAATTTGTCGCCGAATTCGCGAACACTTGGAAATAGTAGGTCCTACCACCGACCAGATTCTTCACTATATTCGTCGGTGATCCAACATGAAACAGAGAATCGTGAAACGGTCGCTACGTTTAACCTTCCGTGCTCCCTACTATCCTATCAAAGGGGACAGCCGAGTGCAAAGGGCTGATGTATGCAATGAATTGATCAATAAAACCGAAATTGATAGAGTATTGAGTTTAATTCCTTCGTTCGGTGGTCTGAACCTACCCAAATAGCTGGTTTCGTCGGGTCGGATTTGTCCCTTGTTGAGCGTTTTCCAGGGTCCGTCCGTTTTGTATTTGATGGTGTAGAATTTAATGAGGTGCTCGAACTTCAATGGTGCTTGCCAGGTCAATAAGAAACCGTTGCTGATCTCCGTCACCGTGAGGTTCCTGGGCGGACCTGGCTTCGGTCCTGGCGATTTAAATCACGTTAGTGTCGAGAAAAACGAAACATCCATCGAGATAGACTTCATTTCTTGTTAGAATTTTTCTCACAAGCCACCCCCAACCAGAGAAGAAATTAATTTAAAGCTCGAACAGAATATTCGTTCCCTCAAAAATTGACTGCGTTTCGTTATTTGCAACAAGTCCAATTATTTCTACGACCAGTTCAAAGTTAGTATCAGGGCAGACTCTACGGTAATCGAGGGTGGCGGAAGAAGAGAAGGGTTATGGAGTCTCGACTTCCCTACGTTCGAATCGTAAAATTATACCACTTTTGAAGCGACAGCTACTTTTCTTAACGACCACTTCGACCCAGCGTTTGCCTAAGCGACGCACGTTCCAGCGCGCGATTCTACGGTTACGGGGCGAAATACCGCCGCTTGGAATTGGGATTACGGGCGCTTAATAAGCCTAACGAATGTATGCCGGAAGTAATTAAGTCGTAACATAATATATGCCAGCCGGTGACGAAAGATGCTGACCTCACGCGTCTCCGATTCCAAGACGTTGCGTCAATATCGTTACACGGTCGTCTCTCGTCGCGTTGTGGGATTAGATTATGGCGAACCGTGATTTATTTCACGCCGTTTCGTTTATCGCGTCGTTAAAAAGGTCCCAATCTCTGCTCTTGCTCTCCAAAGAACTAATTTTAATCTACTAAATATTTCTTCAATCCCTCGTGTTTCATTTTAATTGCACCAAAGGATAATTTTAAGTATAAACAGTATACCGAAGTTACACAACAAAGTCCGTTAAGTTATATTAATGATTTTATTCGAAGCGAGCGCGAGACGCAAAAAAAGGATCTTTGTTCGAATTTATTAATTTGATGCACAGCGGTTGGGGGGTTAATTGAGGGCGCGCGAAAAAAGAAAACGAGCAGGAGGGAGGCAGAGAATGGACGAAACGCAACAACCGTCGGACGCGGAGCCGTTGTTCCCCGTCACGATGAAATTCCCCGGGCATTATTCGCGATTATTTGCGAACGTTAAACAATACCCCGGGGCACAATGCGATAAATTGTCACGATGGAAAAACACACCTCGTCGCTCTGATCGATATTTCTGCGATCGTTTACTGCGGTATTTACAATGTCCGTATTTGTCAACCTCATTTCCGCGGACGTGCACGCCGAACTGAATAAATCGTCGACCGCGCACGGTCAAACGACGCACACCGTTTAAAAATAATAATAATACCTCGTTGTTGCGCCAAACACTCTCAGAAAAAAATTAGAATAAAACAACATCCTGTTGGACATTGAAGAATTTCCATTCTCGGTGTTTTGGAAAACCCAAGACGTTAATTCCTGTTAGAAATATAGGGGTTGGAAATATACGCTGAGGGGAGAATTCCTTTCAGCGCGGACGCCATAAAAATATAAATGGGTTCTCGATGGAGGCGGCACGGTGCCTGGGAATAACGCGAATAACCGAAACGCGGTTATTGTATTCGCCGAAAAAGCTTTTTACCGAGGCGAGTGGTCGCAATTAATTCGCGCCGCGGCGAGCGGAAATTTTTGCCCGCCGCGGGCCTGGGCGATGCGCGCTTTTGTCCGCGCCGTAACCGTTCCGCTCGTCGTCGGTTATAATTTCCAGCGGGTCAAAATATCCATAATTGTTCGCTCGCATCGAGGAATATTTAATCGCGGGCCGCGCCATTTTCGGCCCTCCCTAACGAACCGGACGCGGATTCGCTCGACGCGACGCCATTTGCGATCTCGAACCGAGCATTTTCAGCCAAAAACTCTTTTATAACAAAAGTTAGATAGAAGATTCGTTTGTCCTCCCATTATTTTATAAATCGGCGAACTCGGTGATCGTCTCTTTGATCCGTGGATGTCCAATGACCCGAATCTTTAATGGCTAATTCCCGAGACTCGTGGGAGCTTAAACGACGGGAGAAAGGGACGATCAGGACCTTTCCTCTTCCGCGTCACGGTCGCAATATTGCGTTGTTCGAGCGTGGGAGGAACGGAAAGGACATTGAACGCGTAACGGGGTATCCGAAAGAAACCCAACTGCAACGAGAAAGGAATTAACGTAACGCAAGCACGCGAAGAACGGAACAAAGCGCAAGAACAGAAAAGTGGTTGAATATTGAGAGTCGAAGGAAAAAAAAAAAAAAAAGAAAAGTCGATACCTTTCGGACGAGTGATTGGCGGGAACAGTGTGTTGCCAGTGGAATCGGTCGGTAATACGAGAGTGTTATAATCTAAGATGTCTGAAACGAGAGAAAACAAAATGGCAGAGGTGAGAAATCGAGGATGAGGGGGGTGGTTTGGTCGTGTCGTAATAACTGGTCCGGCTCTGGACCGGGAGGAGATGCCTCGCGAATCCGATCCACCGGAATTCTCGTTAAGCTGGCTGTAATCGCGTTACTCGTGGCAGGCTAACGAGTTTCGAGACCGCTGATGCGTGGGCGTCGGCAACGGACGGGGACGGAAAAAGGCAGAGATCGAAGCAAGGGGAAGCAAAGGTCGCTGGAACACGTGTATCCACGCTCGTGTGCGCGAAAGGGCTCGCGGATTATTAGCTCGGAACCTCTGGCCGCCTATTATTTACATGGAAATGGGAAAACGAATGGACCGCGGTCGCGATCTCGCGGAATTACGAATCAACGGGACAGAGATACGTCGCGACAGGGTGGGTCTCCATTAGAGCCGCGTACAGGGTGCGACCGAAGGTAATACGGTCGTTCGAAAATGCGAAATACAAATTTTTTGAAGGAAAATGATTTTGGGGGTAAAGTTTACACTGAATTAAGCATAAATTATTAAATTTTTAGCTCGACCAAGAAGTAACTTTTCCCATAGAAATGATATTTTTACAATTGATGCAGAGAACTCCAAAGGAGACGCAACCATAGAGATTTACGAGGGCGTAAGCGGCGAACGAAAACGCGGTGGAGGTAGATCAGTCTCGTAGCCGGCGTCCGGGGCCGAGGACCGGATAAAAATCTGTACAGACGGCGGAGAAAATCGTGGCAGCGTGTGTACAAATGGAAGGCAATGAACCGGCGGATTCGAGGGAAGGAAATAAAAGCGGAAACAGAATGAACGGCTCGATGGGTTTTCCGATACGATAAGTCGCGACGGAAGTCTTCGTTCCCTTTCTCTTCTCTGGCCCTCTTCCTCTCCCTGTCCGGGTCCCTCTTTTTACCCTCCCCCGTTCTTCGCTCTGTTTCGACCCGGTTCGACTCGTGAAAGGCAGAGCCCTCTCCCACGTAACTTTGAATTTCTCGCGCAGAATCGGTATTTTCCCGTGAGCCTCGAGAGGAGAGGAGAGACGAGGAGGGCATCTTCAGCGCGAGGCGTCTTTACGGAATCGTTCAACCGAGATTCTTTGTCAGCGAAGCGAGCCCCGCTTTTAAGGAGGAACCCTCACGGTCCCCGGACGGTTTTATGGTCGATCGCGCTCGAATACCGGGGATCGTCCCTTTGATTTCTGATGCGGCTTTCATCCCGACGTCTGGTTGTTTCGTACGCCTCGTTTCGAACTGTTTCCGCGACGCAGTTGATCGCGACTAATTAATTGGCTACGTCCGCGATCGACGATCTTACCGCTTTGATCCGTGGCTGCAGCTTGACCGGCGCTCGAGGATGGAGTCGCTGAGTGTGTCAGTGCCACGTCTTCGAGGCAGAAGCAGATGGAAACAGAGAAGGAAAGAGTTTTCCACAGAGGGCGATTCGGTTAGTCGGTTAATACGGATCGTGGAACGTTAGTAGCGTTGTGTTAGTAATATTAGCGAGTCTCGAAAAGGTACAGCTTCCGGATAGAAAATCGGTGAATATTAGCACCGCGAACTCGAGCCATTCCACGCCAAATCTTTCCTCAGACATCGCTTTTTTGACGGTTCAAAAAATAACTCGATAGTTCGTTCGTAAATTTTCATTTTTAATATGCATATGCCCAATCGCATTGGCGTGGAATGCTTTTGTAAGTAAATAAAAGAAAAATCCGAATTAATACCATTACTAGAATAAAATTTTGTCCATCTCAGGCCAGAATTAATTCGTAACACGACAAAAATAATTGGCCAACTTCGACGAGAGCTGCCGTTTGAAATCAAACTGGAGTGACTGAATTTTTAAAGCATCGTGTAAAAGTATTAATAAATCTAAATTAATGACTTTTGTCGCGCCAGAAATGAATTCTGGTCCACTGGTAAATTGGTGTGCAAAATGCACGGAAAATTCGTCCTAGATTTTTCGTCGCGGTATGTACACTTATTCTAGCGATACAAAAAAATAGGAAGTTAAGAAGTGGTCGTTACCAAGCGTCCTGATGGTAATGGGTTTGCTCATCATCCCATCGCCCAAGGCATTCTTCCCAATTACTTGGAACTCGTACAGCGTACCTGGCGTCAGTCTGTTGATCGTCACCGTTGTGCTGCCCGAAGGAGTCACTGGAATCGTTTCCCATTCCGACGTTCCCGCTTCCCTGTGCCTGTGTGAAACGGAACGAATTTTTTATTTTCATCGAATTAATCGATACAACGATTCACGGTACATCCAATTTTAATCTGCGAATGCAAACGACTCGTGAACCAGATGGATTTTCACGCAACCATGACTTCTCTTGGTCCGGTTGTTTCGAATAAGCTTCGACATATTCGCAAAGCCTTGTTTGCAATACAAAATTGCATTCTAGCGTAACATTTGCGTCAAATTGGTAATAGAAAATGCAATAAAGTTTGTATGGTACCCCGTTGGACGATCCTGCATACTGATGGTTCATATAAATTATTACCATATCGTGTATTCGTAGTTATAAATATACATGATGGACGGTGGGTATGCAAAATATCAATGAAGTACATTTGTCCTATTAATTACCATTTTAACGACGCAAAGAGGTAGTCCGCTAAAAAATTTCAAAGGACGTTACATCTCTACAACGTGAATATTTCAATATTTCGTTGCATCGAGCGTAGAATTATTAATTCCAAAGCCATTTCACGAAATAAGATCAATAATAAGTAATCCATATTTCCGGGAATAACCATGAATTGGATGAGAAAATAATCTGAGCTCCATCGATGGAAAATGTAATTATCGCGTCCATAACATTTTTAAATAAGACGAACATCCGATGAATCGTGGAGACTTTTCAGACTGGAGATTTTTTTAAAAGGAAATTCGATTCCTCGAAAAGGCGTGGAAAGTGGACGCTCACCAGATAGTGTAATCCTGCTTGTAGTCCGGGCCACCGGAGTACCCTGGCAGCCAGGTGAGCGTCACCGAGAATTCCGTGGCGGCCCCAGTGACGTTGTAGGGCGCGTGGGGTTGCGTGCCCTCGACGATCAGCTGCGTGGAGGCGGAAATGGTGGCCACCTCGTTGGACGCGATGCATTGGTAGAACCCAAAGTCCGAGCGTCGCAGGCTCTCGATCGTTAAATTCCCGCCGACGATCTTCGCCCGATTGCGCTGTATGGACATGCCGTTCCTCTGCGCAATTGAAATCACGATACAAACGCGAGTCGAGGCGCTACACTGACAACGAACCGTACAACGCGCGTCGCGACATCGAACAACCCCCCTACTTACAAGAACTTCCTCGTGTCTCGAATTTGGGAAATGTTTATCGTTTGCTCCTTTTGAAACTTGACGATTTCAAGCGGGAAATCGAGGTTCAAATTATTGACGGGGATACGTATGATGGAATAGAATGGTAGTCTAGTCTCTAGTTGACCCTTTTTAACAGATTGATAATCGTATTATGTGATTCTAAACACGGGGAGATCCGCTTAAGGATGGATTCCTATTAGGAACGTTAATTGTTTGAACAGGAACTACTTCAACAATCGCAATCCTAATAGGAATCTCCACTGAAGTCGACGAAGATGGGTATTTTCTCCATCTTACTCGATCCATCGACGTTCGTAAGTTTTGGATACCCAAATGAAACATCAGCCCGATCCTGTGCCTATCACCGATCGATCCTGTCTACCCACGATTCAGATATCTCGAATAGGTACCAGATCATCGAAGATCCGTGGACCGATACTGTTCGAAACGAAGCGTACCCTGTGCCATTGAAGGGTGGGTTTTTGAGTGCCCTCGGCCTCTTGAGCGTCGCAGTGCATCTCGATGGTTTCGCCGACCTTCTTCTGATAAATTGGTTCTGGCTCGAGGGTGAACACAGGTGGATTTCGCACGAGGACCTCCATCGGGCCGGAGCTGCCCTGCGTGCCCTGCGCGTTGTAAGGCGTGCAGGTGTATCTGCCTTGGTGATTCTCGTTGACGCGCGTGAACAACAGCGAGCCATTGTTCATGATAACCGTATCCTTCGTCTGATAAGGTTCGAGCAGCCGCTTGTCCTTCGTCCAGGTCACGTACTGAAGGGGCGGGTTCGCTTTTATGTAACACTGCACCACCCCCGCCAAACGGAACGGCAGGTACTGGACTGTCGGGGTGAACGTGACCTTCGCCGGATCTGGAAGGAAACGACGACCAGTGAATATCTATTCCCAAAATGATTATTCTAATTCTTCGCGGAGTTCAATCTGGGTCCTCGAGGCTACGAACTCCGTAGCCACTACTTTGAATTGAATTTAAGGAACGACGAACGTTCCAGTTGGGGGTTGGAAAGGTCTTCCATTTGGCGTGGTCGATAAATAAAGGGAACGAACAGGGAATAAAACGGGTTGTCCGTAGCAATGGCGGAACTAATGCTCACATTCCACGTTGAGATAAGCGCTGGCGCTCTGCGGGTCACCGATACCGTTCGTTACTTCGCAGAGGTATTGGCCAGAGTCGTCGGCGCTGACGGGATTGATGACGAGGCTGCCGTCCGTCTTGATGGACACCCTCGTGTCCAGCGCAGAGACCTCCGTCACCGGTGCACCCTCCCGGAACCAGCGAACGGTTACGTTGCCTGGGAGAGCCTTCGCCTCGCATGAGAATTGCACCTTCTCGCCCTCCAGCTTCGTCTGGTTCGTGGGTGGCACTGTGATCACTGCTCCGCCTGTCGACCAACGACGATCATTTAAATATCTTTAGACATCTCAAGGGTCGTTACGAACATTACGTTTGACAATTTCTGCTCGAAAGTCCGCTGTGCAATTTTGTTTAAAAACGGTCGCGTCGTTCTTACCGTTCGAATCGTTAGATCCGTGAATAGCGAAAGGTGTCGGGAGGATCGCTTTGTGAGGGTGGAATCTAGCGCTTGCAGGCGAGAAAAAAGTAATGAAAGAGCGTCAGAGCGTGGGGTCAGTCATCAACCATCGGTGTCTATCGCGACGGCAGGCTGTCGACGTCAGTCGTCCAGTCGCTGACGCCGGATATACACTGGCCAACCAATATCCTGACCGAAACGATGGGCCCGCAGAAGCTTTTAACTTTAACCCCCCAACCCCCTCCCGACGCGAAACGAGATTTCATCGTTCCACAGAGTGAAAATCGGCTCGCTAGACGACGTCGATAAATAAACAAACGCAGAACGGGATGGATATTCGAACAGACGTCGACGGATCGATGGTGGCGGCGTTTCGTGTTTTATCACGATGGTCTAAGAAGCTGTGCTTTGCGCGGCGTTCGTAGGAAAGTGGCGTGCCAATCGAATTCCAATTTAAAAATTTGAATCCGTGGACGAAGTTTTAATCGATTCGTGAGAACGAAAGAAAGAAAGAAGGGGGACGCGTTCGCGCTCGAGGAACCGTCTTTTGCTCGCGACGACTCTTCCCACCGGAGTCTTCGTAAAAAGGATCAACAGGGTGCATTATATTCTCGTCGATATCCAAGAGGTCTGCCGTGCTCGAAGAATTTTAAAACTTGCGGCTTTCGAGAGGGCGCGCCCGGGAGACGGGGGGAACAAGTTCGTCGTCTACGAGGATCTTGACGTATAATGGGAGGAAATCGATCACGCCCGACAAAAGACCGAACTTCTTCTCGGGATTCAGCGGTACTTTCTGCAATCCGATCTATCGTTGCTCGCCGGGGAATTATAAGGCGGCTGCAGCGCGTTCCCCGGAACTGTCGCCATCTTCTTTCTCATCGAAGCGTTCGACCATCATCGCTAATGATAATAATATGCCTTTAAAAATTGTATAAATGTTAAAATAGGTGAGAGAGGCCAAAGGTCAAGGTTTATACAGAAACCTGATCCCTCATCCTTTGACTCTGAGTCCGAATTACGAGGGAAAGGAATGTTAGGGAAATACAATGGTATACGAAAAAATAAATTTCCTTCGCCTAGCCTGACGACTAGGCCGTTTATTCAAATAAAATGAAAAGTAACTAAACAAAAGTAAAAGAAATTAAAATGAAATATTGGTATTGGTCTAGCCGCTACGACTCTCGTCTCGGTCTTCTGTAACAATACAATACACCGATAACAATAATTATTATTTAGAAAACGAAGAACTATCTGGAGCCGAATCGTCCAGTTTCAGGAGCGAAAAATGTTTCTTTCACCGGGGTAACGGGAAGCAAAGTTTGTCGGTCGAAGCGGCCATCGTCGAAGAAGTTGGCTGGCCAAAATTATCCGTACTTTGATTCCGTTTCCCGCTGGGTCCGTCGCGTCCGTTTCTCCACGAACAATGGCGGCGCGCGGTTGGACGCGCGCGAATTGGAAACCGTAGCCGCGAGCGTACCGAGGACCGAGAATTCCGCGACTCCGAGAACGCCGAGTTAACTTCAGAGGACAAAGCAGGGCTATCCTGCACGGGCCAATGAGATTCGGCGAAATTCAGACCGCGCGTGCCGCGGATCCAACCGTCCCGGTAAATATTCACGAGACGAATTAAAAAGTTCCGCGTCCGCGACAGCAATGAATTCCAAATTAACGCGACGCGTAATTTAGCGCGACTTTATCATCGCGTTGAACGTTTCCCGAACGGAAAAGTGGAACGGGACCTTCGTAGATCCGTAGATTTTTATTAAAATTATTGCCTTTATTTCTATTTATAAAAGTTTGCAATACCTCCTTAACCCTTTAGATTTAAGGAGAGGATTACGAATAATCAGAAGCGAGTTCCCGGGTTTCGAGGGTCGAAACGGGTAGAAAGAAGATACAGGAAGTGTTCGTTTCGCGTAAAACCGGGGTAGCGCGTTTAACGATCGTTTTTCGGCAATCTCCGTAAGAGGAAGCGCGTCCCGGCGCGATATACGCTCGAACGGACGGAAACGACGACTCGACGGGGATGAATTTCGGAGAGGAAGCTCGGTAAATATTCAAAGAGCAGATTCAAAAGTTTCACGCCGGCGAGAGGAGCAAGTTCTGCCCTGCCTCGTCGGTTCGAGGATCCTCCGCATTAGTGGCGCGAGTCTGTCGGCGCTGTTTTATACGCGGAGGATGAGAGCCCGTCTACTTTGCACCCGGGGCTCGCTCGTGACTGCGCAACGAGACTCGAACCGGGGACGCCAGTAGGGTTTATTAGTCCGAAACTTTCGGCAGACTTTCAGCCGCTCGTATAAATCTCGCGTCCCAAAAGCCCCGAATCCCGAAGCCCGCGGCAGCGGATTTTTCGAACGTCCGCGCCACGATGAAAAGGCTCCCCAAATATAGTAATTACCAGCCAATTTTCCAAAGCACGGACTTATAAAATATTGCAAGGCCTAGGATGACCAACGATCGAAATCCGTCGGTCGATTCTCCGCGCGCGATGCACCATTAATTTCGTCGAAACGAGAAGCTCGCGAGAATCACCTGTATTTAAAGTCGTTACGCCGAGCGTCTTCCCCTAAATCGTCGAGTCGTTAGCCGTAGAAAAAGCACGACGCGGATCGGGGGAGGAAAGGAAGCGCGCGCGATGATGAAGACGGATGTTTCCGCGGCCTCGTAACGAAGCTTACAAATCCGCGGTGCTCGTGGAAAACGAGCCGAGACTGCCACGGGAGGAAAAACACCGGCAGCTCGCACGGAGAACGAGACAAATCGCCTTTTAACTCGTCCCATTCGCGAGGAACATCCTAATTGGCCTCCGACCACGACCGTCCTCCGAAACGCCTAACGCTCGAACCGTTTTGCCTAACGCGAATTTTATCGCGAGCAGCCTCCGGGCGAAACCATCGACTTTTGCGCTCGACTGCCCTGAAAATCGATATGGCTGCTTATGGGGATTTGATCGAAGTACCAACTATACACTACTGTCGCTCGAAACATTTACTACACCTGCCACGAACTAGCTTTGTGAAATTGAAGAAAAGAGGACTGATAATCTTCGTGAGGATTACAATAGTCATAGTAAAAGGTCCACAGTAAATTTGAAAAGATTTTGCATTGCTTTGTTGAACATTTCGAAAGGTTTGATAATAAAATGAAAGTAACCTGTGAAATAGAGAGGGTTCGTGCGACGGTTCCGTATTCCACGTAGAATATAATGGATTCCTAAGGGGTAGTTTGCTAGCTCGTGCCAGGAGAGTCCGGTCCCTCGCGGATGCAATAAGTTTGATCCTTCTTAATTAAAATATGCGACGCGATGGGAACGCGGAAAGTTACATAGAAGTTGAAACGGCTCGACTGGTCAATTTCACGAGCGCCCCGAAGACGTTCGGAGATTAAAAGCGGCGTAAAAGTTATACCGTTACCGGGGACGTTCAGCGGTCCCATCGGGGGGTGATTCCGGTTAAACGAGACTTTAAGAACTTCCATAAAATCGCTGGTAAAAGCTCCCCCGACCGGCGTAGCTACGACGAAGAACCTTTCTTTCGACGGATCCACGGGAATCGGGACCGATCGATCGACGACGCGATAATCGGTCACGGGAATTTCCTGGAGGGTCGTCGACACGAATCCGGGGAACGCAAAAACCGTCGAGTCGCGACGTGGCATTTTCTGGCGTCGCGGTTATCGGAATTTCATTATCGGAGCTCGATCGATCGTCGTCTACCGAAAATACCCCGATAATTTCTAACAACAACCCGCCCGATAATTGAGCCGTTCATTACGATGGCCGTAAGTCTATTTAAAAAGAAAATGGAATTTCCGCGTGCCTCGATAATTTCGTAATTTTCCCCTAAACGGACGAGAGCCCCTCGTAAAAACGACGCAAGTCTGTTCCGTCGAAAGGAAACATGTTTCTCCGTAAAGGATGATATAAACGATCCGTGGTCGTTAATTAACAGCGGATAAATTCTTCCAGCGAGTTTCGAAACTGACGCGGTGTCGGCGGCCGGCTCGACGGGAACCGGAAGGCGACTTATTTCCGACGAACGCGTCCCGACGTTCCCCGTTGCGCTAATCCATCCAAAGCGGATTTCAGCTCTCGAGCTTTCCGTTTCAACTTCTCCGCGAGACCCGCTACGGAGTCATCGCCGCCTCTATAAAAAGCAGGTCGAGTCAAGTCGCAATAATTTTCCAGCCCGAACAAAAGTTTCACGCGAACGTTCGGCGAGCACAGGGCGAGCAAAGCTCGACGAACGTTCGTCTCGTCTCCATTGCTCTGCAATTTAACTTGGATGTTAATTAATCGAATCGAAAGTTGTCAGACGTCAGCATCTCTTCGTAAAAAACTTTGATCGAAAATAATGGGTTGACCAGCTCGAGAAACGAGGATGGGATTATTTTGGAAGGCTAGTTTGGAAACGAAACGAAGCTCGCTGAGTATTGGATTTGCGTTGGCAGCCACTGGGGTCAAAGATTACGACACGGCATCAAAGGGACAATGCACAGTTATTACGATCCTCCAATGAGTTAATCTTCGGTGCAACAAGACTCGTGTCTGTCACGTTTCCAGCTGCATTGTCTGGCCGATTATCACGTTTCCGAAACGAAACCGGTGTTACGAGGGTTTTTGTCGCGGCACGACCGCGAATCGACTGGATTACAGCCACGCACGAACCGCTTTTAATAGCTTACAGTATCAGTAGATATTTTTCAATTGGAATTTTCCTGCATTCGTTCGACATGGAATCGAGTTTCATACCCTTAAAACATAAATTGGGATATCTTAATACCCACGTACACTTCGACTCGTGCGAGGAAGGTGCAATTAGCGTTGCTTCGCGTGTCAACGCCTTGGTGTGCCCGATCGTAAGATCATAAACATGTAATCACCCGTGGTCACTTCACCACCAAGAGGTTTAAACCTACAATTACCACCAAAGGTTCCCATAAATACCACCTTCTCGACTCCAAGCGCTATTGCAAGACCCTCGCGTATTTTCCTCCCAAGTCTACATTTTTATTCAGAAACTTTTCGAGGAGATTTAGGGAAAATGGAGGATAGGGATTTAAAATCTTCGCGACGTCGAGGAATTAAGCGTGTAGATAACTCACCAGCGATAATAACGCGGGCCGTGTGACTGATCTGGCCCTCGCCGTTACGCGCGATGCACGTGTAATCCCCGATGTCCTCGTTCTTGATCGTCGAGATCCTGAGCTCGGTGCCGTCGTTGAATATCCCGATGGTGCTCGACGGCTCGACCGGATTCGCGTCCTTGTACCAGAGGATTTCCGGCGTCGGCGTGCCCTCCGCCTGGCAGTTCAATATTATCGCGTCGCCCACGTTCACGTAGATTATCTCCTCTGGCGTGATGCTGAACTTCGGCGGTGCTGCGGAAACAAACCACGCGTTCTTATCCTCTCGTGCAGTTCTCGACGCCACGAACGTATCTAGTGAAATTGAAAGAGATCGGTCCAAAGAGGATAGACCAGCGTACCCCTCGATCGATGTTACAACTCCCTTCTTTCGCAAACAGTTGTCGCTAAATATACGAGCTATGCAAATTAATAAAATTTATGTTCGCCCGTTTGCTCGACACGATGGAACTATTTACAGAATATTTGAATATTTTTCGCGCGAGCAGGGGTCGTCGAACGGTCGAAGAAGAGGCCGCGACAGCGTCGAGACGATGCATTACTCCGTGGAAACGGCATTAAGGGAACAATCAAGCCCTCGAATCGCGCCAACGCTTAGAAAACGCTTCCGCGGGAGCTCTCTTCGAACGTTTTTATCTCCGATGAGTTTCCCCATTCGGCAGGAATCACGCTGGCCCTTCAGCGATCCCGACCGCGGCACAAAGGATCGTCCATTTTCGCCGCGCAAAAGCGTCGCTCGAGAACAGAGAAGAATAAAGAAAGGAACGGGAAGCGAATCCGCGACGGGAGACAAGAAAATTCAACGAAATGTTACCCGGGCTAGCATCCACGAGGTCTCTCGAGCTTTACGGGGCTCCAAAAAATTATAATTTTCTCGATTCTTCGACTCTTTTAGCCGACCGCTGGCAAATTTAAAGTACACGTCTGAATTTCTTTGACGAATACTTCCAGGAAACAAAGAACTTACAAGCTATAGGACCGATGCAAAATCGTCATAGTATTCTGTTTTTTAATTTTCGGTTCGTGGAGGAGAGAATCGGTGACGTAGCCGGGGGTTAATCGAGTAAAGGAACAAATTCGCAGTTTGCAAGGTATACAGCCGTCTGGTAGGGGGTGGAGCGCGTAAGGCACGAAAGAACGAGAAGAAGAAACGAGGCGGACAAAGAGCCGAGGGCGAAAACACCGGCACGGAAGCAGGGGGCAACAGTTTACGGGTGTAACGCGAGCAAACGACCGGGCAGAGAGACGACTTGAAAAAAAAAAAAGTACAAAGGGAGAGCTGAACGCTTTCGCTGGCCGAGTGGTTCTCTCTTTGACGCCGCTGGCAAATCCTTAGTCGTCGCAATCGTCGCCGCTGACGTTCCGCCGTCATCCACGAGGAGGGACGTCGTCGAGTGTGGCCGTGGGCACGACGAAGACGAGCGTACCAGCCACTCGGGGGAGAACGCGAGCACGTGGGAGGAGGAGGATACGTCGGAGGCGTCGACGAGAGAAAAAGGAGAACGCGAAATTTCCTAAGCCATCTAAATGTTTCTCTTCCCCGGGGGCCGTTCGTCGTCGTTTATGGCCGAACAAAACGCGGCAATAAGTTTTCCTTTCTACGCGACCGCCATTTTTTTTTTGCACCACCACCCACCTCTCCACCGCCTCCGTCGTTCGGTTCAGCGACCCCGTCGACGACGTAGTCGACGTCGCGTCTACGTAACGCGTAAAACTTTATCGCGTCGACGAAAGAATTGAATTCGATTCACCGTGAATGACACGCCTCCGTTTCTCTGTTTCTCTGTTCTCTTTTGTTCCCCTCCCCCCGCACACATCCCCGCTTCCCTGTTTCGTCTCGCCCCTTATCAGCGACGCTTACCCGATTTTCTTCTCGATTTTATTCCGCGAGGGAAAACGCGAATCGACGCCCGTAAAAAATTTACAGGCCCTTGTAAAACGGAAGCAAAGTGGCACGAACGATTCTCGAGTTTCCGGTGAAATTGCACGCCCCCTCGTCGCGGGCGTAAAACACTTCTTAAGCTTTCGGGGTAATATTAATGAGACGCTCCGGGCGTACGATCGACGCAACTTCGCCAACTTCCGGCCGCGAAACGGACCGAACTTTCGACTTAGAACTGCTTGGCCGCGCGAGCTCGTCGGGGACACCCTCCCCTATTACTGTAATTAAGTATTTTTTAATCGATATCGCGCGACACCGCGCGGTTCTCGTTACTCGAGGCGAACGGTACAAGGAGGAGAATTCTTCGCGAACGACGACGACGAAGTTTCCGGTTACAAGACGCGGATAATAGTATTTGGATACTATTAGCGTCGGCCGACCAATTAAGGGTCGCACGATTAGGCTGGCTAGTCGTGCAGAACGTTCTGCACGGTTCTAATGGGTGTCCTGGAAATCGTGGCACGGCGGTAAAAAAAAGGGTCTCGCGAAAAAAAAGTAACGATAAAAGCGCGCTCGAGTAAATGAGAATTAATTGTTGGCGGTACTTTCGTTCCCATTGTACGTGTTTAAAATTATCTAATGAAATTTTACCTTTGTCTCTGTTTCACCGTTATTGTATTTTTTACAATACTGGGTTCCACATTCTCAATTTTTATAATCGATTTATTTTCTTGTGTCCCGTTTCTTTTATAAGGAGTCGCTTCTTCGTCGACCGTGCTACAATTTAACCGACACCCTTCGTGTCGGATCAATGATAGAATAATACTGTTCTCTAACTATTACGACGTACGCGTATTGAATTATTTCTAAAATAAACGATGTAATCGTGTTATCTAGACGATCTATAAATTACAAAAATTTAAGAAAAATATTGAGAGTAGAAACAGTGTTTGGTAGAACCACAGACCTGGTATACGAGCAGACCTTACATTTCTAAATATTGTGCACAAAAATACGCGTAGTTTGCCTTTTGAAACACCAAAATCCTCCAACTCGTTCAAGAGTTATGATATTTTAAACATACGCATGAAATTTCAGGGAGATATTTCCGTAAAGAATTTTTTTTCTCAAAAGTGGGTAGGATTTCGGGGGTATGTCTATTGACCAAAAATGATTGTAATCGACCCTCGAAACTAAAAATATTTTTTCCAGAATGATTTGAAACTTTTTAATTTTCTCGAAAAATTTCAAACATTCTCGAATTTTTTTCTAGGAAGTGAGTAGGATTTCGGGGGTATGTCTATTGACCAAAAATGATTGTAGTTAAACCATGCAACTGAAAATAATTTTTTCAAAACGATTTGAAATTTTTTTTTTTCATCGAAAAATTTAGGCACCTACCCCCTGTCGATTTTTCTTAAAAATTCGTTTTTCATTTTTAATTAATTTGTTTGACGCTGTACAAAAAAGTTGTCTAATACTTTTTTGTAGGTACCCATGAGCTCTACTTCAGAAAAAAGTTTCATTGAAATATATTTACTATTGCAGGAGTTATGGCTGTTTGAAAATTGGACAACTTTTATGTGGTTTTTCTCACTTTACGGTGTCAAGGAACAACTTTTCGAATATTTTTACAATTTCTACATATTCTTCACTAAAATACGCGTCGTTTGCTTCTTTAAACATTAAAATCGTCCAATCCGTTCAGAAGTTATGACGTTTCAAAGATACGCATGAAATTTTCAGGGGACATTTCTGGCCATAGATTATACTTTCGATAATGAATTTTTTTCTCGAGAATGATTAGGATTTCGGGGGTATGTCTATCCACCGAAAATGCTTATAATTGACCCCCGAAACTAAAAATAATTTTTTTAGAACGATTTGAAAAGTTTTAATTTCCCTGAAAAATTTCAGTGAAACATCTCAATATACGGTCAGACATTGTATTTTCGGTGAGGAATTTTTTTCTCGAAAATGGATAGGATTTCAGGGGTATGTCTATTCACCAAAAATGATTGTAATTGACCCCCGGAACTAAAAATATTTTTTTCAGAATGATTTGACATTTTTAAAAATCACCTCCGAATTTTCAGATCGGTATGGCTAACAAGATTGGGCCACGAAAATCTATAAGGAACAAGGTCTGCTCGTACATCTCGACTGTGTTAGAACATCGTATCGCCGTCGAGCGAAGAAAGGAAACGAAGTTATCGTCTAAAGAGTCTTCGAAGACGTTTACGCGATCGAAGAGTACTCACCGTGGACGTCCAGGTGGAACCAGGTACCATTCTTGTGACTGTTCGGCGACCTGTTGAGGAAGACGACCTTGCACTCGTACCATCCTTGATCGCTCTCGCGGATGTCGGTCAGGTTGAGACTCGCCACGCCGAACGGTGAATTCGGGCTCACCCTCGAGACTCGACCTTCGTAACCATCGCCACTGTGGGTCGGATACGACTCGTACCATATGTATATCGGTATCTCCTGCCCCTTGCACCAACACCAACACGCAACATAAACGAGGGATCGCCATGAACGGGTACATACTGGTGCGAGACACGTTCTTCGGAATCGCGCGTCGAGCTTCGATTTTCAACTGCTGCTAAATTCGTCGCTACCACGTTTCTCGAGTCCGTGCTCCCTTCCAAGATTGGATCCTCGAGTTCAGTGACTCGATGATCGTCCTTCCGGGGGACTCGGGAACTCGGAAAACGCTGGCTTTGCACCGATAACTCGAGTGTGATCAGAATCTCGATGATACGTTCGCGATGTAAATATATCGGGGGTGTATAATTTATGCAAAATTTCGTTAGGAACACTCTGTTACAGGAAACAACTATTGCAAGAGTTCGAACGACTTCTTAAATCAATACTATGCTCGCTAAATAATCCCATATGACACTGCATTTTCCAGAAATGAAACTACGAGGAATTGGCTTCGAAATAATGAAAGATATTATTTATTATTTACATCGCGAAACGCTCTCGAGATCTTGAGGCAGAGTTCCGGGCATTCGCGAGACAGAACACGACGGAAACTCGCGATCAAAGGATAAAAATACGAGGTCCAAGACTCGCTCGCACCAGCTGCCGGGATAATGAAAATGACAAATGACGAGACAGGGGATGCAGCGTGTGTGAAGAGCGGGAACGATCTACGGAGCGGCCGCGACCCGCCCGTCGTTTTGGCCAGGTGGGCAAAGGTGTCTCTCGCGTACAGGCAGAACCTAACGAGCACACGGGATCTCTGATCCAACGACGTAGCCGTAGGAGGGATCCTCTGAAACTTTCATGCTCGTTACGTTCGCCCGGACGGGAGGACGCCCCGCGACAACTGTCGTTTTCCATGCAAGACTCTGGCTACGGCGAACAAAGGAGTACGATGAAATAGTAATCCCCGGGTACGTGCGTGGCCGTAGGAGAGCGCTGCTTTCGGGGAGGGAAGGAAAATTCAGGGGGAAAAGAGTTACACGAAAAGTCTCATGCCATGCGTGCGAAACGTGCCATGCAGAGGGGATCGTCGATCGTCGATACTCGAATCTAGAACATGGGCCTTCGAACAGCTCCTTTTTGTAGAGATTAATTTCTAATTTATCAGAGGCCACGACAGCTTTCGAGAGTTTGTAAGACGCAACCATCGTTCCCCTGTTTTTGAACGTTAGGTGGAACGTTGGAAAAATACAAATTGGAGTTTACACGTTCGTTATCGAGGATCGATGATCGTCGTACAGCGGGTGGCAGAGACTGACACAGATAGGAGTGCTAGAGGCACCCGTGCAACGGGGTCGATGCATTCGACGAGAACGGAAAAGCTTCCTCGATCGGTCTCAGGTTATTGTTTCCGTGCGTTTCGAGCGAGACGGAGTAGTAAAACGGTTGCTTTACGAACGCCTCGTTGATTCGATGTTCCTGGAAATTACGAAGCCAGTCGAACGGCGGAGTTCCTTGAGCACGTGCATTAAAATGGCCGACGCTCGACGCGTATAATCGTCCGCGTTAACCCCTCGACGCACGATTTATACAATTCTACCCCCGTAGCTACGCCAACGACCGTTCTGACTCGTTTCTGTAATTGTTTCGGTACCATTTCGAACGCGAGTCGATGCAATTATTATATGCACTCTTCGAACGAGAAATAGTTCCCGTTCTCGTCGAGCGATACTTATCGGAACTTGCCACTGGCGGCGAGAAATCGTTCGCAGAAACGGACGATCCGGCCGGTTCTACCGTCGCACGAAGAAGCGAAAAAAAGAGGAACGGCGAGAAGAGAAGGAAAAAGAAGAAGTCGAAGGAGCAAGGAAACTCCGCGAGGGAAACGTGTCGTGACGATCGTACGTTGGCCATTGACTGCCCCAGTTGACGGTTTCTATTTCGAGCTGGCCTACTTGCGGCGACGAACGGCGTCGTCGCCGGCCGGCGTCGCAGTCGTAGGCGCTCGCAAACCGCGAACCGCAACGATTTCAATATTATTCTGCCACGGAGTCCGCGGGGAACTCGTTCGATATCGCGCTACCTCCCTAACGTGTCCCGCGGAATAAACAATGAACGAGCGCGTTCCCGCGTCCCGATGTCTCGAGAAAAAAACAATTGGTCCTTCCTTCCACTCTAAAAACTCCTTTGGCCGTGCGCGCGGCTTGCTCAGCCGCGACGGGGGGGGGAGGGGGGGGGGGAGAAACTGAATGCCACGCGGAGTTCCTCGCATGCAACGCTTCCGGTTTCCCGCTCGTTCCGCGTTCGACGGAACAAAAGAGGGTGCGGAACGCGACACGCATCGGTGCTCGACCGCCGTTATTTTATCGAACATTTTCTACTTTCCTGCCGCCCCCCCCGCCCCCCTGGTACTCCCACGTCGTTCCGTTTTTTGCGAATAAATTAATTTTTATCGATTTGATTAGCCTCGAACCTCAAAATTGAATTTACTCTTCTTACTTTTTGTTCTATATTGTATCAAATTATTTGTAATTGAATGTTCCCTGTTTAAATAAATAACCATATCATCAAATATTATATAACAATGAAAAGAAACCCCATGAGAGTCCCCCAAGAACAGGTGCATTTTAAAATAAAGAGAACAGCGTCTGATAGAGTGAAAAGAGGAAGCGAACGATCTGCGATCGAGAGCGTAGACGCGATAAAAATTTCGGGGTTGGAGAGAGGCGTCGCGACGAGGGTGTTGCCGAGGGAGAATGCACGAAACTGGGATAAATTACTGGTCTGAATGGAACTTTCGAGGAGAGTAGGCCGAGCCCAGCTATTTTCTCGCCGTATCCGGGCGCGACTCCGGGTTTTTTCTCGATCTACGGAACCCCGGAGACGAAAGATGGGAAAGAGGAAAAAAACAAGCTTTCCCTCCTGCTAGGATACGAGCCTGAGCGGAACAAGTCGCGCTCTCTCGCGCGAACGCTCCGCCGTTTATACCTACGCCGCCCATGTAGGTCAGGTGACTGTTTTATTTTCTCAGTCCATGAGTTCTTTTGTCTCGCCACGTTCTATTAGGTTGGCGCGTAAGCGAAATGCCGTTTTTATAACGTTTGAATCCCGTCCCACGACGATGTAAGCTTAACGACGTTTCGTCGTTAATTGTCGCGCTCGTCCCATTAAGGAGGGACATTTTTTTTAACACCCACGCGCTTGGTGCTTTCGTCGTTTCTCTTTTCCGTGCAACCACTTGTCCGTGATAGTTATCACAGAACCGAATACAAGACCGAACTCGAAATATTTCTCAAAAAATCACATCTAGAATTACATTATCTCTGTGATGTTCAGTGACAAAGGAATAAAGGCGTTCGCAAAATAGAGCGGCAAAGACCAGAGTCCCTGGGATGGCTCGCGTTAACCCCAACGATCCACCCTCGAGTTTCACAGCCCCAGAGAGCAGAGGAACCTTTCGTCGAGGAACTTGTCAACGAGAGACGAGGGTCTCGTTTTCAGCGGTCCTCTTCGAAGAATGAATCTCGATGATTCATGTCGCGACTGCCTGGCAAAGAGGACGACACGAGCCGAGGAAATAAAACGGCGTTTGGAAGATACCCAGGAGCCTCCCCCAGGGAGGAACGAATCGCTTTCCATATGCGCGAGTTCGTCCTGAGAACGATGGAGCGGATGCAAGGAACGGAAGCCGCATGCGGCACGTGTTGCGGAAATTTTGATAATTCATCGCCCTGGCGAGCAGAACGTCCCTTCGTCCCCGGTTCTTTCGCCGGGAGATGAAGGTTCATATATTTAAAGGGGCTCTCTCGTGTCCTCCGGAGATCGAGCGGAAGTCCTAGCTAACCGAAACGGGTAAAATGTTAACGAGGCGGGAGCCAGCGATGGCGACGAGCGCGCCTCGAGCACGATCGAACGTGACTCGTTGGCGATTCATTCTTATTTTAGGGTCGGAGAATATAACTATGGAGTACTCGTTCGGTCTCACGATTTAAAAAATTAATATTCTCGCTATTTGAACTTCCAGTTAGAAAATAAAACGTACCACAGTAGTTCCTTACATATTACATCTTTGTACTAAAGTGTTTATTTCTGTTAATAAATGAATAATAACAATAATAATCTTTTTGTGATTCATTCAACGTTTCAGTCCCACCTTAAGTCCTCGCCAATCGTGATCCTCCTAATGATATTAATCGATCACGTGTTTTGGAACATTGGAATGATGAAAAAATATAAATTGTGTATTTTATATCCGCGTAATTATAACCTGCTTAAATTTATTTATAATGGCTGGGAGATATCGATCGCGCGGCGACTCGAAATAGCGCGGCCGCGAGCTGCTCTCGATCGCGTCGAATTTAAGTGTAAATTGCTTCTCGCCGTCGGGATCGCTACGGCGCGGCGTTAATATTAATCGGGCGGTTCCGAGGGCGAGATCCCGCCGTCGGAAAATCGAGAACGTTGCAACTTCCGGGCGGTGTTCGATATTTACCCCGACGCTTTGTTTCAATGCCCTGACATTCAAAAGTTTTCGCCCGGCCTGTTCGCGGCCGGAGTCGCGGGCTCTGTGTTCCGCGTGGAAATTCATTAACGTGGAAATTCCAACCCCCGCCCTACGAAGGGGGATGGGGCGGCGGAGTTCTTTCGAGAATCGTCGGGGCAAAGCCGATGGAGTTCGCTCGGAAGCGAGAAGAAAGAGCAGGGAAATTGTTCCGGCGCTGGTTCGCGAAACTTTCTATTTACGCGGCAACTTCTCCGCCCGTTTCCCTGACAGCGGTAAATCGATATCGTTCTTTTAACTCCTTGCTGCACGACGGATCGCGTGACTATCTGGGAGAACGTTCGTTCGTAATCGCGAGCATTCGCCATCTTGGAAAAATATATTTTCGTCCCGGATAATCGCTGCTGACCGCCAATTTTTTATTTCTGATTTATCGGGTACCGTGCACGGACAGTGTCGGAGAAAGCTGAGAGGCTTTCTTTGCCGGGGTGCGTTCGGATAATTCTCGCCAGCTCTTCACGGAAGCCGGGGTACAGTCTAATTAAACGACGGAATTTCG